CGGTGTTGTAGTTGTGAGGTTGGTCCTTTGACTTAAACAGTTCTTAAAGCATTTTGCGCAAAGTTTACCACCAAAACGCATTTTAAGCACAAGAAAAGTGAAACGCACACACCCAAATAGGGTGGGAATGATGTACAGAAACTCCCCTCATTCTTACGTACAAAGCCATCTATCGCGTTGCGAATAATTAGATATGAATGCTGTGAGTTTTTAGAGGTTTGTAGCCATCCACTACTATTAAACACTTGTAACTGTAAACTCGGGGATGTTTTTCGAATAGCTCAGAAAAGCTAGCTAAGATCTCCAGCCTTTGTTTGAATCTCGGTAGCACTTACGAACTCTTGTAAAGTTGATGGCAAGTAATAAATAATAATGGTTGTCTTGAATAATTTTGCCATTACAATCATTTTTGGACGAAATATGATGATTGTATCTCATAAAAAAGCAGCCAAGATATGTAAGCTTATAACTGACTTAGAATTCCTTTTATTTCAGGTTTGCCGTCAGGCTGGGTATTTCAAACATGCCGTGTACTTGGCTGAAAAATATGATCAACATGATTTGTAAGTGCTGCGTAGAAAAATCGAACTCTTAGTTCTTAACGCAAAACATCAGCCAAAAGTCAGGCTTTAAAAAGCATCTGAAGAATATAGCGTGTCTTCAATTTAACTCTATTTTGTTCCAACACAGATACACGTTTTAGGACCGCATTTTTGCGTGGTCACGAGGTACCATGAAAAAGTGTCATGTTTCTAGACGAAAGCGGTTTTTATGAGAAACCGTGGGTACTGAGTATTATCAGATTTGTTGTTCCAATTTAACAGTTGACATCAAGAATCAACAATTCTTAAAGGCATGTATTGGATCGAATGTGAATTTTGAAGTGAAACCTCCATGGCAGCACTGTTGCATGGTGTGTTGGGGTTTTTCACTGTTTTACAAAGCAAACTTTGGGGTTTTTTGTACCTTGGCGTTGACCTCTCTTAAAAATCATATGGTTAATGTTTTATTTGCAGATACTTAAAGATTCAACTGGAGGATCTCAAAGATTATCAAAGGGCTTTGTCGTACATTGGAAAACTAGATTTTTATGAGGTACATTTGCGCCCCGGGGGGGGGGGGGGGGCNCGAAGAAACACAGAATTACGCGAAGAGTAACAGAAATCAAATTTTCTCTTTACCTTTGTTTGTTATGTCTTTATATCATTAAAACTCATTGCATGTCGTATTTGTGTGCTTTTAAGTGGTCTCTGTTAGGGGTCAAAATTTGCTCAAGCCACGCCCAGATTGGTGTCCTTTAGGGATCACAAAAAGCTTGAGCCACGCCCAGATGGTCTCCTTTAGGGGTTAAATTCAAAATTTCCGACGAGCATCCCCGTCTGTTTCATATGGGAGTCCCCACCCCCCGGGCATTTGCGTTCCGCGCAAAATAAGTTCTGGAGGTAGCACATGTCACCACAGATAAGGACAGACGCTCGAAGGCTATGTTCACACTATACCGGGTAGTTTTTGCGCCGGCACGGAAACCATACCGAGAATGGCTTCTGTTCAAATATGGAAACGGTGATTTCGGAGCGATTTCTGTAACGGAGCGAAGCTGCGCCCCGATCATGAGTCACATATCGGATACTAGTTGTTCATACTATACAGGATAGTTTTTGCGCCGGCACGAAAACCATACTGAGAAGGGCTTCTATTCACACATGAGAACGGTGATTTTGGCGCGAATTTCTGTGACGGAGAGAATCTGCGCCACCCCGATCTCTAAAGTGAAGAGTCACATATCGGATCTAGGTGTTCACACTACACAGCATAGCTTTCTGTGTCGACGAGAAAATGTATCCCGTTTAGTTTGAACATAGCCCTGGTATTCAAACCTGTGCCATTGTTTATGGTGCAAGAAGAAAAGGACTGTCCTCTACTGGCAGTGAAACTGTTCCAATGAATCCCATAAAATGGCCATGAATTGGCTCGGGAACCACACAGGATGAGAAGGGACACACAAGTTAAGTTTGGTTAGCCGATCTTATTTTAATCCTTTCACCCATTTGCAGGTCATCGGCAGGAACAATCGTTTTTTTCCACACAAATGCTTTGTTTTTCAAAAGCAACAATGCCGATGCTCAAATTTCGAGCGTGGTCTACCTGTGGTTGGTCCACCCCCCTCCGCCCTTTCCCCAAGTCTGGTACCCAGTCGCTGGCGAATGAACCAACAAGTTGTAAGGTGAACCGGTATGTTTTACTTTCCAGGCCGAAGACAATATGAAAAAGTATGGTAAGAGCCTCGTGAATGCTGTCCCAGATGAAGCAACCAAGCTATTAAAAGTCCTTTGTACAGATTACAGACCCCAGCGCCTGCTGGAACGTAAGTGAAACTCAGAACATTTTGTCTTAAGTGACGTTTGCACATCGACGTCGACCTTGCGCCAACCACTGTGCTCTGGAATATCAGTGTTCAATATTATCATCAGTTTCAATGCTGCTTTTCCCATCTATTTTTATAGCCTAACTCTTCGTAAACTCGAGCCTGAGAAAAGAGCCGACATTTTGCGACGCAGTGACTGGTTTCCCCGCGAAATGACGTCTGAGGAATGAGTGCAGAAATTCTATACAGTCAAACCTCTTCAATACGGGCACCAAAGGGACAGAACCAAGTGTCCGGTTTACAGAGGTGTCCGTATTATAGAGGTAAGGAATGTATGATTTTTGGCATTTCTGGGACCAAACGAACTGTCCGTAATGGAGAGGTGTCCGTAAGGAGAGGTTAGACTGTACTGATGACGTATCACTACCCAGATCTGGGTATTATGCTTATTATGCTTCTGATTGTTCGTGGCGCGAGAGAAATTTGCTTCAACCAATCAGAAGAACTACTCAGACCTGGCTAGTGACACGTGATCAGTATGGGGTTCTTGCAATCGTTTCGGATCAATTTAGATTTCTGAGAAACTGCCCACCTACCCCTCCCCTAAGTCAACAACAACACGTACTTCTCACTTAGGGCAAATGTTGGATTAGGGGAGGGGTAGGTGGGCAGTTTCTCAGACGTCATTTCGCGGGGAATCAGTTGTGGCGTCGCGAAATGTGGGCTGTTTTCTCAGGCTACGTAAACGTTCTTTCCACATGAAACGTCCCCTAACTTCATTTAGACAAATCAATTTTTTTACATGGTGAACTTACAGCTGCTGATGATTTTTAGGTGCAGTTTCTGGTTCAGTTACCCCTGTTAGCACTGGTGTATTTCAATCCATGACAGCTGCATTAGGTAAGCCTTCATGTTCTAGCCCCCGAGACCTATTTTGGGTGTTGCGTGACAAACTCAGGCATTGCTGTTTTGTCCCACAACATCTGATTTGAGTGCTGAGTGTCAGCAATTACATACAAAGGTTTGTTGTTGCGTGACTTGTATCACCTGAGTTGTATGAAATGCTCCGTAACAGGGTTTGGCGTGAAGTGCTGATGATTTAGGGGAAAAACATGTGAGAAAAAAGTAGCAAAACGCTGACTGGGCCTGGAACAGATAAGAACGACTTATAGCAAAACATTCAAGTTTAGGGGTAATTAATGCGCAGCTCCTCTCTTAAACTTGATAAACACCGCCCTAGCTATCATTCTTTCTGTTTGGATTATAACTTTTTTTTATAATCAATGATTATTACTTATATGAAAGTGATAACTGATGAGACCGCTAAACACTACGTTAACACTATTTGCTTTTTAGATCCAGTCCCGAGTGCAGAGAGGAAAATCCGCAAGGCACGCGCCGAAGAATTCATCCACATTTTCGTACATCAGAAGGCTAAGCTGATTGAATTTCTTGAGCACATGGTGCAGGTAACTTTTCCTTCGCTTCTTCTTCCTTTTTATTGTCCTACTTTTTCTCGTACTGAAATGCGCGAGAAAGAGAACGGCAGAAGATCCCTAGAATGGATTTAATTGTGGACGTTTTCCTTGGTGGAGTAAATAGAGAGAATGTGTCAGGGACGTGACTGACAAAGCTAAATAATATCCGCGATGAAGACGCTGCCGCGGGCGCGGTTGTGCACGACTTGATGAGCCGCCAGTCTGTGCTGAGAAGCGCAAGCGCACTTGTAGCCATCGTGGAACATGTGACGTTACAATTAAAAATCACGGAATTGTTGAATTCTACTTGGTAGAGTAGTAAAAAATTAACGTTGCAGGAAGGAACGTTTCAGAAAGGCATACTCAACTCCAAGTGAACATTATCCTGGATGCCAGAGGGTCTTTTTTCGGATCAATTTAGGCTTCTGGGGAACTGCCCACCTACCCCTCCCCTAAGCCAGCCTTATCACTTACTTGTCACTGAGGGCAAAATGTTGGCTTAGGGGAGGGGTAGGTGGGCAGTTTCCCAGAAGCCTAAATTGATCCCTTAATCCTTGTTAAATAATGGATCGCACGGCGGAGCGCTGTAGCTTGGCGCGACGCACGAGGTAAGTTTGGGCAGCTTGGTTATCCTGTGTCCGCGGTTTATTTCATCCTAGATATTTTGCGAACATTTTGCGAACAAGCGAAAACAAAGAAAAGCAAAAAAAACAAAAACAAAAACTATGAGACATGCAGGCTTGTTCGAGAGGTGACTTCGTGTCAGCTTTATGGTTGTAGATCAGTGGCTAACTTCCTCAATATGCCTTATATCGTTAGGTGCAACCACACTCATCCACCAACCTTGTGTACAATACTCTTCTTGAACTGTACCTTAACGACGCAGCACGTCAGAAGGATATAGAGGTAACGTGACCTTTTGTCACACAAGTATCAACTTAGTGTCACGTAATAGATGCCTAAGGTCTTTTGCAAATTTTGTTAATTAAGTTAATGGCCACCAAATCGTCTTAGAATTGTACCAGGTGGTTTTTGTTTCAGGCTCAAGTTGAACATGAACGCAAAGCCCTTGATTTGCTGACAAATTTGGAGGTGTGTTAATAAATAGTTAAGTACTTTAAAAAAAAAGCCGAGAACGAAAGTGCTATTGGTGTACGTAGGCTCTGTAGGAAGCCAGAAAATATACTGATATAGAGAGAAGACAGCACACAGAATAACCCAACGGAGCAGACAGCTGTTTCCTTCGATTTGGATTCATCAGTCGCAGATAGCTGGCAAAAACTGACTTCAAGTACAATGATGAAGGCTATTTAAACTTGAAGAACCCAAAAAGTATCACGTTATTTCAGGTAACTCGGAAAGTCAAAAACAGTCTAAGTAGGATGGACGCTCCTAAACTAGATAGACAAGATCAACCCCGCTGTTTTTTTTGCTTTTGTTTTTTTAAAGTAAATAACATCGATTGTCGAGCGCAGGCGATCCAAATTTACGTTTCGTCCCTTCCATTTAGGCACGCTACGATATCGACCACGCGCTTGTGTTGGCACAGATGCACCACTTCAAAGCTGGAATTTTATATCTGTACGAAAAAGCCAAACTGTGAGTAGTGGATAGGTGTCCTGTGGCACTTGTTTGATGTTATCGTACTGCACTTGCCTTACAATTTGTGTTCTTTATAAATAACATTAATTATGTTTTGTGTTAATGCAAACCCACCAAGAGCTTCCTTTTAATGGTTGTACGTTTGTTTGTTTGTTTGTTTGTTTTTTTTTTCTCAAAAAAAAAAAACTACAGTTACCAACAAATACTTCATTACCACATGGAACAGAACGAGTACGGTCACGTGATCGACACGTGCAAGAAGTATGGGTAAGTGCATAACTTAGAAAACGGTTGGCAACTTTTTTCGGCTGGGTCATTTAATGAATCCCAGTTAATCTGTGTTTTTTAAAACTGTACTTGATATTATAAAATGGTGAAAATTATGCCCGCGCTATGTTTAAGTTCATTATGTTGCGACAAGCCTGGCGCGGTCTTTATCGAGATGTTATGTGCACAGTCTGTATCGTGCGTGCGCAAGGTAAGGGATACTCGAGCGATACTCTTCAAAATCTTTTTTACGGTGGCCCAGTGTTCAGCTCAGTTTGCCAAAAGATAATACTCGTAAAACACTCTCAAAAATACGTGATGTCAAGCCGGGGCTGCAATGGTAACGGGCCGTCTTTTAGTTGGTTTTTTAGACCACCCTTAGTTGCCTTTATCACATAATAAGGTTTCTCAGGCTTATCACAACAAATCCCCTAAAACACTTTTTCTTGTTCTAAAATAAGACCACTGCTCTTACTCTCACAATGCAAGGTACGATGCGGGTAACTTTACCCTTAGAATGTTTATTTAACAATTAATGAATGAGGCTGAGTATCTTATGAAGAATTATGGAGATCGAGGAGGGTGTTATCCGTCGAGGCCGTAGGCCGAGGCAGATAACACCCTCCGAAATCTCTATAATTCTTCATATGATACCAAAGCTGAATTCAATAACTGTTTTATTATTCATTCAAAATAATTCCTAGTTTAAAAACATGGCTAAAACATGCTTACCTCCATCGATCCATCGATCTTCAGTTCATCTTCGATAGTACACGTTTAGGTTTTTCCAGCTCCGCAAATATTGTCCAAATAGCAGATGTCGCTCTTCGAGTTGTCTTCTTGCTGTTCTTGCCATGTTTTTAGTTATTTTTTCGCCTAGTTCTTACTCTTGAAACGAGTGAAATGTCCCCCCTTTTTCAAGTTCTTAACCAAAACAACTCAACCTCGTCCCAGGGTCTTCTTAGTTAAGTGCCTTAACCTGCACGAACGCTGCATTTTTGACGTCATTTCCTCATTAAACACAAAATTCTTCCAAATTTGGTCATTAGAAACTGGTTATGGTGAATTATGCGTGTGCTTTTAGCCAATCAGAATCAGGGGAATATTTTGAATGAATAATAAAAAATATTAATGCCATATTGCCTTTTTTAACAGCACTTTAGACACAAGTTTGTGGGTGCAGGCTCTCTCATATTTTGCCCGGCGGGAAACAGATTGCAAGTCTCAGATAATGGAGGTGTTATCTCATATCCTTTTATAACGCTCCTTTAGTCACGCGTTCTTTAACTGAACTAGGCGATGTATAAAAGTTGGTAATAGACGTGATCATTCCGAACTAAGTGCGTCTCTTAATATCCCACGTAGCAGACCGGCGGTTGATTTGGGGAGCGCGCGAAAAGGAGCTGGGGAGCCGCGAGAAAATTAGAAACGACGATTAACAACGACGATTTTTAACGCAACACAGCGTTGCAATGTTGTAACTATTCGAAACAATGTCGCAACAATGTTGCAACGCTGTGTTGCGCTAAAAATCGTCGTCGCGAATCATCTCGTGTAACATCACCTTTATTAAGGCAATCACAACTGTGTGAAAATATTCACTGCGCCCAAAAAGAACTCCTTACAGGTGCATTTAGCTGTGCCAGGTGCAGTAAATCGCTTTTGAACGAACCAACGCTGAGTTTGGTTTCACTCCTAAGAGCTCAAGAAAGTGGCTCCAAATTTTATGGCCAATCGTAAAGCACTGTAATTTGATTTCGCTTCACTCCAGTGACTTATAGGTGAAGGCAATCTACGTAGTTACTTAGGTCAGTCAACAAAAAATATCCGAGCATTTCTTTTGATTTTAAAGTAATTGTCTTTGCTTTTGGCAATATCAAGAATATCTCACTTATATTTTGGCATGAAGGTCCCTATAGTTTAAACGAAAAAGAACCAACCGGTGGAATACAAGCGATATTTCCTTAACGACAAGTCAAACATCGATCGTGGAAATCTTATGTCGCCACTACTTGTGCTTCAAAATCTAGCTCACAACTCTACAGCGACGTTAGCTGTTGTCAAGGTATCAAACGCTTATTTTTTGTCACCAATGCTGCTTTTTTTTTTTGACAGAGATTTGTTTTCTTTTGTACCAGTCAGTTTGTGAAGACAGCATTTTCTATTTTTAGGATTACATTATTCATCGTTTGCAACTAGAAGATGAGATTATCGCCAGTGTAAGTAAACATTTAGTGTTTTTTACCTGAATTGAACGAAATGATTTCTTCAGAACGGTAGCCACTCCTTGGGACCTCCTCTTCCCCCTCCCCCTTCACCCTTCACATCGTTGTAGCACTTTTAGTTTCACTAAATACTAAAGGCAAGATTAGCTCGGTCGGTACAGCGCTTGACTGCAGAGCGGGAGGTCGCGGGTTCGATTCCCGGGGCCAGACCAAAACTCATGAGGACAAATTTTATACTCGCCGGAAAGGGGGGCGGGTACTTCCTAGTAGTAGGCTCTAATGGGTATGTGCCACTGGATGGGGTAGCATTTTCTGGATTGACTATTATGGGGTTGCATTTTTATAAGAGTTGCCAGTATAGTGTCCCACATTTTCAGGATTTTGGGGGTCAGAAAATTCAGCTGTGTAGGCATTTAAGACTAGAAAGATTACCACCACATTAAATTTAACAAATGTGTCAGTTTATTTTCAGGATGACCTATTGTAGTTGAAAGGCATACATGAACAGAAAGTGACGAAGTTGGGATGCGAAAATTGCCTTTTTTCCAAAAGTGACTATGGTGGAGCCTAGAATATGGCCACAGAATAGACTATAATGGGGTAGGGGTTCTGAGAGGCCAGCGGCACATACCCAACAAAAATTAACCCAAGCACCGTCCCCCCCCCCCTCCGGGTATACTGGTCACATACTACATGGGCTTATTGGGTTAAATTTCATAAGCCTTTTATTCTTGGTTACACAGTACATGTACAATCATGCATTGATTTTTTTTTTCATCCCCCTAAGTTTGGCAAAAAGTCAGCACTATTCTGATGGACTGATTGAAATCTTTACTCAGTATGGAGACCACTTATACAGGTAAGAAAACTGTTTTCTCAACAGCATCTATAATGGGCAATTACAGTTGATCCCGGCCGTTCATCAGTCGGTTATTCTGACCTTCAATAAGGCAGCGACACCTTTCAAAGATGAAATAGTATTTACTCAATAACAATTGCCGGTCCTAACGTTGCGTGAGAAATTACAGCTGACTTTTCGTGAGGCCACGATCGTATTCTCCGCGAAATGGTTGGTTGAAAATTTTCTTAAACCAATAAAGAAACACCACCCAGATCTGGGTAGTGACACGTCATCAGTGTGGAATTTTTACGCTCGTTCCTCAGACATCATCTCGCGGGAAAGTCAACCATGTCGTCGCGAAATGTCGGCTGTTTTCTCAAGCTAGTCCTATCAGCAATCTGTGAAAGGAAGAGTCGACTTGTACATTCGTCATTAATTACCTCTGTCAGGTTTTGGCGGCAACTGAGTGAGTTTTCACGAGTCCGGGGGGTGCTATAAGGAAAGATTACTCTTGCAACTTAATTGACCTTCCAATAACTAGTGTTTAATACCATCAACTGAAGGTACACAACTATAAACTTTGACTCTGACAATGGCTACTGCACAGATAATCACTAGGAAGATCATGTTCCACCTGCGTAGATAAAAAAAAAATTATATAGTTATCTGTGCCGACTATCGGCCAACTGTTGATGGACAGATGGTGAATGCTCGTAGTGGGAACACTCGGTAAACTGTTAGCCGACGGTCGGTTTAGGGGAGTTGTTCTTCACAATACCCAAAGTGTTTTTTTTCTCTTTAGGTATAGATCACAGACAATATCAAGGTGTGCTCTCAACAAACACTTAAACAGCTAGTGGGTTAATGTAATGAGTAATATGTTTTATATGTTTCTTTCGAATTTTTTTTTTTAGCAAAGGAGATCACGATGGAGCCATAAAACAGTACATCAAAACCATTGGCCATTTGGAACCATCCTACGTCATTCGGAAGGTAAGCAAACAGTAAATAGCCAACTATGAGAAACTCACCACTAAATTCTACATGCTAGACTTGGGGTCTGTTTACATGGACATGGGAGACCCCAGGTAGGTGAGGTAACACGCTTAGGTGGGGTAACCCGCCTGTCCATATAATCTCTCATACGGTCACCCCACCTATCGTGTAAACGTGATCAAATTAAAATGCGAGATTATATAGACAGGCGGGTTACCCCGGCTACCTGAGGTCTCCCACCTCCACGTAAACAGGCCCAAGACTCTTACTATGTTAATCCTAGACAGTTCATTCAGTTGATCCCAGGGAAACCGGTCGTTTCGATACAAAGTCGTCTCGATTCAAGTCGTTTCAACTCTGGCAGTGAAACCGCAGAAAATTGTTGATCACTCCAAGTTTAGTTTGCGCGTGAACAAGGAAAAGATTTTGGGTGAATATTCTTCGTTCTTTAAGCCTTGTAGTTGAAACTAGTATTTACACCTCGACCGAATAAACTTGTATCGAAACGACCGGTAACCGAGTAAACTCTTCCTTCAAAATGTACCTTTGACTGTCTGCACTCAGATCTTTCATTTAGCATCCATTGCTTGTATTAGAGCTACATAGCTTTAGTAGAGCTCTTAACAACGACGGGAGGTATAAACTTATAAAGCTTATAAACTACCGTTTATAAGCCCTGGGCTTCTACATCTTCGTAAGGGGTTTTTAGAGGGCTTATAGAGATTCGCTTAATACAGGTTTGATTGTTAAACAGTCTAGGAGGTCTTTATACAGTAGAAATTGTTTTATAAAATATTATTATTGCCTGTTTTAGTTCTTGGATGCACAAAGAATTCACAACCTCACCGCTTATCTCCAGGTTTGTAAATAAAATTAACCATCTGTCAGAGAAAAACATTTTAAATTAATAAGCAGTCCATTCATAGTTTAGCCTGTTCACAGACCCTCTATTCTCGCCTTGGAGATCGTCGAGCGCGCGTATGAAAATAAAAGCCGCGGGGGATTAATTGACCGCGAGCTTTCCGCGCTCGCTCCCGCGCGCTTGTCGATTTTCGAAAAGAAAAAGAAAACAACGTCCGTGTACAGGCTACTCATAGTCTCCTTTGCAGACGTTCCTAGGGCTTCGTCACGCGTGGGGCAGGAACGATCGCAAAGCCCTAAGAACGCGTGCGTGAGAGGCTAGTCCACTCATTAATAATCGCTATTATCAGACGGCGCTGTTGAGTAAGCGCTTTTTCCAACTGCTGCGATCTTAAGCAAGCGAAACGACTTTACTTGGCCCCGGCATCTCTTCAGTAGCTCCCAGGACACGCTGAATGTCAGTCCAAATACAGCATATGCAGTCGTCTGGGCTGCTTGTCGTAGAACGTATACGGCATGTTCGTTTTCTAAGGGCAACAGAAGGTAGTTACATGGAAAACTGAGGGATTATTACTGTACGAGGAATGTCATTGAAAATTACTTTCCGGTTGATCCCTTAGAGAATTAGTAATGCTATTTTTACAATTGACCAATCATAGGTCGGTCCTATAAAATGCTCAAAAAGTGAAATGAATGAAAAAGAACATAAAGGACTTACATCTCGTAGCTTTTAATCCCTCACTAAGGTCTAAACACTGGCTGCCACTGATCACGTTTTGCCCAACAGAATTTTTTCCCTGTTTGTCAATATCAGGCTGAAGTAAGAGAGAATAATGGTGGGTGAAGATATCATTATATCTTGCTTTTTAGTGTCTTGTTTTGTTTTGGTTTGCTAGGCACTGCACAAACAAGGACTGGCCAATACAGATCATACTACCCTGCTTCTCAATTGCTATACGAAGCTCAAGGACGTCTCCATGCTGGATGAGTTCATCATGGTATGTGCGTACAGATTTATATCCTGCAAGCAAGTTCTCTTCTCAGGGGGTGGTAGATGGTACAAGGAGTGCTCCCTTCCCCTCCCCCTCCCCCTCCCCCTCCCCCCTTCCCCCCTCCCCAGTCACCCTCACCCATCCTTTTCCTCCACTCTCGAGTGACATGTTCGCACACAGGCCAAATATTCAACGAAAAAAAGAAAATTTTACTGTTATCTGATTATCGTCTTGTGACCACTGGGCCTTCATACTCACCGCGCGTTTCGTTTATTGACGGTTTCGCCTCTTCAAGAGCTTTGTTCATATGGAAAACCTAGCCTGCGGTCAAAAAAGAAATGGAACGCGCGTAAGTTTCGGATTGAAAAGTGACCGATTATAAACTCTTGTTGCCACTGCAAACATCTGTCGCAACAGTTCTTCGCCTGTAGGGTGTTTAAATTGCGTGCATTGGTTTTAAACGCCATCGTTTGTTGCTGTTATTAACATTCTTCACCACTCTGTGTTCAAATAGTGATGAATCTGCTGTTTATTGCAGACTGATAAGGAATTAAACTTCGATGTGGAAACTGCAATCAAGGTATAGTTGCGTATAGAGGAGTTTTTGAACTATTAGAGCGGTTTTCATTTGAGTGTCGAAAAGTAATTGGTTTTGCACTTTCTACACGATGCGATTGGCTTAAAAGATTCGCGCCACCTTTTCATCCAATCAGAAGTAAGACCAAAGCCAATTGTGACGCGCTCGCATGCATTTTCCCGCGCTTTGCGTCAGCCACATGTAATTACTTCGAGTTTTGATTGGTTCAATGTATTGTCTGTGTCCTATGTGATTGGCCAGAGTAATTACTTTGGTTTTGGTTTTACGACACTCAAACGAAAACCACTCTATTAGGGAGCTCAAGCAACAACGACGGCGACAGCTACGGAAACGTCACTTAAAGTGAAAACTTTCTCGGCCTGATTCCATCTCGTTCAATTCGTCAAGTGCTGGCAAATTTTTCTAGAGTTGAACTCTAAAGACTGCATCAAAAGTTCAGGAAAAGAAAAGGAAGGTCGTTGTTTTGTATTCACGTCCTCGGCTTAACGTGAAATTAGGCACTTTCACGTTGTAGTCAATAACAATAACAATAACATTTATTATTTGTATTGCGCCTTTTCTATAAAATATTCAAAAGCGCATCACAACAGTAATTAATAACTAAAAATTTTACAAATCTTTCTATAAAAATCATCAAAAAAATATTTACATAAAATGAGTAAAAGATAATTACAAATAAAGATATAGATAAACTAAGATAACTGAAATGATTCCTTAAATAAAAATGTCTTAATTAAAGTCTTAAAAGATTCTAAGTTCGTTGCTTCGCACGCGGACCTTGGCAGCTTATTCCACAGGAAAGGAGCAGCTACCTGGAAAGCTCTGTCTCCCAATGTTTGGGAGTCGTGCAGCGACGGCAAAGAAGTGGACAAAAAATGCGTGATGGAGTTGTTGTTTTGCCAATCTAAGGCTATTGCTTTTTTGCCGTTCTTGTTCCCGTCGCCGATGTCGTTGCTTGAGCTCCCTATTTATGGTCATATAATACTGTGCCAGGTTCCGCTAGTGGCAGTGTTGTAGTTGTGAGGTTGGTCCTTTGACTTAAACAGTTCTTAAAGCATTTTGCGCAAAGTTTACAACCAAAACGCATTTTAAGCACAAGAAAAGTGAAACACACACACAAATAGGGTTAGCCTGTTCCAGGCTCCGAGATGGTGGTGGAAAGTCGTTTAGTAATAAGAAATGCGAAAAACGCGCGGGGGCTGGGGAGAGACAGGGCAGCGGAGCCTCTCTCTCCTATTTTTTCCGCCGCCACCGCCCCCTTTCCCAAGTCGTGCGCCTCTTATTTTCGCCCTGCTCGTTTTAATACGTTCCCACTATACTATCTGAGAGCCTGGCACAAGCTAAAATAGGGTGGGAATGACGTACAGAAACTCCCCTCCCCTTGCGTACAAAGCCATCTATCGCGTTGCGAATAATTAGATATGAATGCTGTGAGTTTTTAGAGGTTTGTAGCCATCCACTACTATTAAACAATTGTAACTGTAAACTCGGGGATCTTTTTCGAATAGCTCAGAAAAGCTAGCTAAGAACTCCAGCCTTTGTTTGAATCTGGGTAACACTTACGAACTCTTGTAAAGTTGATGGCGAATAATAAATAATAATGATTGTTATGAATAATTTTGCCATTACAGTCAGTTTTGAATGAAATATGATGATTGTATCTCACAAAAAGGCTGCCAAGATATATAAGCTTATAACTTCCTTTGAATTCCTTTTATTTCAGGTTTGCCGTCAGGCTGGGTATTTCAAACACGCCGTGTACTTGGCTGAAAAATATGATCAACATGATTTGTAAGTGCTGCGTAGAAAAATCGAACTCTAAGTTCTTAACGCAAAACATCAGGCTTAAAAGCATCCGAAGAATTACAGCGTGTCTTCAATTTAACTCTATTTTGTTCCAACACAGATACACGTGTTAGGACCACATTTTCGCGTGGCCACGAGGCACCTTGAAAAAGTGTCATGTTTCTAGACGAAGCGGGTTTTATGAGAAACCGTGGGTACTGAGTATTATCAGATTGTTGTTGCAATTTTCTAGTTGACATCAAGTATCAATGATTTTTAAAGACATGTATTGGATCGAAGAAGTGTGAATTTTGAAGTGAAACCTCCATGGCAGTACTGTTGCATGGCGCTTTTGGTTTTTCACTGTTTTACAAAGCAAACTTTGGGGTTTTTTTATACCTTGGCGTTGACCTCTCTTAAAAATCATATGGTTAATGTTTTATTTGCAGATACTTAAAGATTCAACTGGAGGATCTCAAAGATTATGAAAGAGCTTTATCGTACATAGGAAAACTAGATTTTTATGAGGTACATTTGCGTTCTAGTCTGCTACACAGCCGTTTTTAGTGTCGTCACGCAACGCTCCTCCGCACAGTGGGGAGGAACGTTGCGTGACGACTCTAAAAAAGGCTGTGTAGCAGACTAATTTGCGTTCCGTACAAAATAAGTTCTGGAGGTAGTACATGGTACCACAGATACCGAGAAGGGCTTCTGTTCAAATATGGGAACGGTGATTTCGGCGCGATTTCTGTAACGGGGCGAAGCTGCGCCCCGATGATTAGTCACATATCGGATACTAGTTGTTCATACTATACAGCATAGCTTTTGCGCCGGCACGAAAACCATACCGAGAATGGCTTCTGTTCACACATGAGAACGGTGATTTCGGCGCTTTCTGTAATGGATGCGTCACCCCGATCTCTAAAGTGATGAGTCACATATCTGATAAGTGTTCACACTACACAGCATAGGTTTCTGTGTTGGCACGAAATTCTATCTGGTTTAGTTTGGACGTAGCCTAAGTGTTCAAAACTGTCCCGTTGTTTATTGTGCAAGAACAAAAGGATTGTCCTCTACTGGCGATGAAACTGTTCCAATGAATCCCATAAAATGGCCATGAATCGGCTCGGGAACCACACAGAATGAGAAGGAACACACAGGTTAAGTTGGGTTAGCCGATCTTTATTTTAATCCTTTCACCCATTTGCAGGTCTACGGCAGAAACAATCGTTTGCTTTTTTATTCAAACGCAACAATGCCGATGCTCAAATTTCGAGCTTGGTCTACCTCTGGTTGGTCCACCCCCCGCCCCCCGCCCCTCCACGTCTGGTACCCAGTCCCTGGCACTTGAACCAACAAGTTGTAATGTGAACCGGTATGTTTTACTTTCCAGGCCGAAGACAATATGAAAAAGTATGGTAAGAGCCTCGTGAATGCTGTCCCAGATGAAGCAACGAAGCTATTAAAAGTCCTTTGTACAGATTACAGACCCCAGCGCCTGCAGGAACGTAAGTGAAACTCAGAACATTTTGTTTTAATTGAAGTTTGCACAACGACGTCGACCTTGCGCCAAGCACTGTGCTCTGGCACATTCAGTGTTCAATATTATCATCAGTTTCAATGCTTATTTTCATAGCCTAACTCTTCGTAATCTCGAGCCTGGGAAAACAGCCGACATTTCGCGACGCAATGACTGGTTTCCCCGCGAAATGACGTCTGAGGAATGAGTGCAGAAATTCCATGCAGTCAAACCTCTTGAATACGGGCACCAAAGGGACAGAACCAAGTGTCCGCTTTACAGAGGTGTCCGTATCATAGAGGTAGGGAATGTATGATTTTTGGCATTTCTGGGACCAAACGAACTATCCCTAATAGAGAGGTGTCCGTATTATAGAGGTGTCGGTAAGGAGAGCTTAGACTGTACTGATGACGTATCACTACCCAGATCTGGGTATTATGCTTATTATGCTTCTGATTGTTCGTGGCCTGAGGGAAATTTGCTTCAACCAATCAGAAGCACTACTCAGACCTGGCTAGTGACACGTCATCAGTATGGAAATCTTGCAGTCGTTTCTCAGACGTCATTTCGCAGGGGAATCAGTCGTGGTGTCCCGAAATGTGGGCTGTTTTCTCAGGCTACGTAAACGTTCCCTAACTTCATTTAGACAAATCATTTTTTTTACATGGTGAACTTACAGCTGCCGATGATTTTTAGGTGCAGTTTCCGGTTCAGTTACCCCTGTTAGTACTGGTGTATTTCAATCCATGACAGCTGCATTAGGTAAGCGTTCATTTCCTAGCCCCCGAGACCTCAGTGTTTTGGGTGTTGCGTGACAAAATCAGGCATTGCTTTTTTTGTCCCACAACACTTGTTTTGTGTCAGTAATTACATGCAAAGTATTCAGTTGTTGCGTGACTTGTATCACCTGAGTTGTATGAAATGCTCCGTAACTGGGTTTGGCGTGAAGTGCTGATGATTTAGGGGAAACACACGCGAGAAAAAAGTAGCAAAACGCTGACTGGGCCTTGAACAGATAAGGACGACTTTTAGCAAAAAATTAATTCAAGTTCAGGGGCAATTAGTGCGCAACTCCTCTCTTAAACGTGATAAACACCGCCCTAGCTATCATTCTTTCTGTTGGATTATAACTTTTTTTTATAATCAATGATTATTAATTATATGAAAGTGATAACTGATGAGAACACAAAAAATAAGGCCAACACTATTTGCTTTTTAGATCCAGTCCCGAGTGCAGAGAGGAAAATCCGCAAGGCACGCGCCGAAGAGTTCATCCACATTTTCGTACATCAGAAGGCTAAGCTGATTGAATTTCTTGAGCACATGGTGCAGGTAACGTTTCTTTCGCTTCTTCGTCCTGTTCAGTGTCCTGCTTTTTCTCGTACTGAAAAGCACCAGAAGGAGAACGGCAGAAGATCCCTAGAAGAGTAAATAGCGAGAATGTGTCAGGGACGTGACTGACAAAGCTAAATAATATCCGCGATGAAGACGCTGCCGCGGGCGCGGTTTGATGAGCCGCCAGTGTGCGCTGAAAATCGCAAGCGCACTTGTAGTCATTGTGGAACATGTAACGTTACAATTAAAAATCACGGAGTTGTTCAATTCTGCTTCGTAGAGAAGTCAAAAATTAACGTTTTAGGAAGGAACGTTTCAGAAAGGCATACTCAATTCCAAGTGAACATTATCCTGGATGCCAGAGGGTCTTTTTTCGGGTCAATTTAGACTTCAGGGAAACTGCCCACCTACCCCTCCCCTAAGCCAACCTTATCACTTACTTCTCACTTAGGGCAAAATGTTGGCTTAGGGGAGGGATAGGTGGGCAGTTTCCCAGAAAACTAAATTGATCCGCTTGGTTATCCTGTGTCCGCGGTTTATTTCATCGTAGATATTTTGTGAACATTTTGCGAACAAGCGAAAACAAAGAAAAGCAAACAAAAAAACAAAAAACAGAAAACTATGAGACATGCAGGCTTGTTCGAGAGGTGACTTCGTGTCAGCTTTATGGTTGTAGATCAGTGGCTAACTTCCTCAATATGCTTTATATCGTTAGGTGCAACCACACTCATCAACCAACCTTGTGTACAATACTCTTCTTGAACTGTACCTTAACGACGCAGCACGTCAGAAGGATATAGAGGTAACGTGACCTTTTGTCACACAAGGATCAACTTGGTGTCACGTAATAGATGCCTAAGGTCCTTTGCAAATTTTGTTAATTAAGTTAATGGCCACCAAATCGTCTTAGAATTATACCTGGTGGTTTTTGTTGCAGGCACAAGTTGAACATGAACGCAAAGCCCTTGATTTACTGACAAATTTGGAGGTGTGTTAATAAATAGTTAAGTACGTAAAAAAAAGCCGCGAACAAGAGTGCTACTTGTGTATTTAGGCTCTGTAGGAAGCCAGAAAATGTACTGATATAGAAAGAAGACAGCACAACAGAATAACCCAACTGAACAGACAGCTGTTTCCTTCGATTTGGACTCATCAGTTGCAGATAACTGGAAAAAACTGACTTCAAGTACAATGATGAAGGCTATTTAAACTTGGAGAACCCAAAACGTATCATGCTCTAAAGTAAATAACATCGATTGTCGAGCTCAGGCGATCCAAATTTACGTTCCGTCCCCTCCATTTAGGCACGCTACGACATCGACCACGCCCTTGTGTTGGCACAGATGCACCACTTCAAAGCTGGAATTTTATACCTGTATGAAAAAGCCAAACTGTGAGTAGTGGATAGGTGTCCTGTGGCACTTGTTTGATGTTATATGACTGCACTTGCCTTACAATTTAAGAGGGCTGACTTATGTGTTCTTTATAAATAACATTAATTATGTTTTGTGCATGTGTTAATGCTAACCCACCAAGAGCTTCCTTTTAATGGTTGTACTTTTGATTTGATTTTTTCTCATAAACCAATACTACAGTTACCAACAAATACTTCATTACCACATGGAACAGAACGAGTACGGTCACGTGATCGACACGTGCAAGAAGTATGGGTAAGTGCATAACTTAGAAAACGCTTGGCAACTTTTTTCGGCTGGGTCATGTGGTGAATCCCCGTTAATCTGTGTTTTTTAAACCGTACCCGATACTATAAAATATTGAAAGTTATGACCGAGCGGTTAAGACCTCGAACTCTGGATCAGGAGGTCTGAGGTTCAAGCCTCGCCCTTCCCTTTGTTTTCTTAGACTAGGAACTTTACTCCACTTTGTCTCTCTTCACCCAGGGCCCAGTTGTTCGAAGGCCGATTAGCGCTTAACCCGGGTTTCTATTTCTTGTGTTCAAAAGCATGTTCTCGAGTAATTTTCTGTGCTATTGTTAGAGCTTCCAGTCATCAACTTGTAGACAAAAAGAATTAAAACTGAAATGCTTTCTACGCTTTCGAATCTGAATTCAAATCCCGCACTAACCCTGGGTTATCTTAACCCAGCTTTCAACAACTCGGCCCAGGTGTATAAATGGGTACCTGCGACATACTGGTGGGGGGGTAACCCTGCGATGGGCTAGCATCCCTTCCAGGCGGGAGTAGCAATACTCCTAGGCAGCTTCATGCTACAGAAACCGGAACATGATAAGCTCCGGCCGTGCTGGCCTTTGGCTCGTGTGCGACTTTACCCTTTTTTACCTTTTTTATGCACACAGCCTGTATCGCGCATGCGCAAGATTCGAGCGATACTCTTCAAAATCTTTTTACGGTGGCCTAGTTTTCAGCTCAGTTTACAAAAAGATAATACTCGTAAAACACCCTCAAAAATACGGGATATCAAGCTGCAAAAATAACGAGTTGGTTTTTTAGTTGTTTTTTTTTTTACCACTCTTAGTAGCCTTTATCACATAATAAGGTTTCTCAGGCTTATCACAACAAATTCCCTAAAATATTTTTTCTTATTCTAAAATAAGACCACTGCTCTTACTCTGACAATGCAAAGTACGATGCGGGTAACTTTACCCTCAGAACGTTTATAAAATATTAATACCATATTGCCTTTTTTTACAGCACTTTAGACACAAGTTTGTGGGTGCAGGCTCTCTCATATTTTGCCCGTCGGGAAACAGATTGCAAGTCCCAGATAATGGAGGTGTTATCTCATATCCTTTTATAACGTTCCTTTAGTCACGCGTTCTTTAAGTAAACTAGGCGATGCATAAAAGATGGTGATAAACGTGATCGTCCCGAACTAAGTGCGGGTCTTATTATTCTGCGTAGCAGGCCGGCGGTTGATTTGGGGAGCGCGCGAAAATAAATAAATAATAATAATAATAGGCTTTATTTCAAGAGGGTAAAACACTTAACAGTTTAATTTCTAAAAAGACATTATGACTAAGATAGATAAAAACAACATAAAACGTATATACAATTACAGTCTAAGGAGCATCGCAGCCTTTTGTTTAGCTAGAAAAGATTTAAAAACGTTATGCTTAAAACTTCCTAGCGAGCCATTATTTCTTATATTGGCATTCATGCAATTCCAGTCCTTTATAGTCCTAATGGTGAAAGTACGACCTCCTTCTGTTTTTCGTTTATACTTAGGGCACACTAGATTTATGTGTGAATGTCTAGTGGCTCGATTATGAATTTCTGAATTTTTGACTAATAGACTATTCAAATAACTAGGCGCTAGAAGGAGCTGGGAGCCGCGAGAAAATTGAAAACGACGATTTTTAGCGCAACACAGCGTTGCAATGTTGGAACAATGTTGTAACTATTCGAAATAATGTGGCAACAATGTTGCAACGGTGTGTTGCGCTAAAAATCGTCGTCGCGAATCATCTCGTGTAACATCACCTTTAAGGCAATCACAACTGTGTGAAAATATCCACTGCGCCAAACAGAACTCCTTACAGGTGCATTTAGCTGTGCCAGATGCAGTAAATCGCTCTTGAACGAACCAAAGCTGGGTTTGTTTTCACTCCTAAGAGCTCAAGAAAGTGGCTCCAAATTTTATGGCCAATCACAAAGCACTGTAATATGATTTCGCTTCACTCCAGTCACTCATAGGTGAAAGCAATCTACGTAGTTACTTGGGTCAGTCAACAAAAAATATCCGAGCATTTCTTTTGACTTTAAAGTAATTGTCTTTGCTTTTGGCAATATCAAGAATGTATCACTTATATTTTAACATGAAAGTCGCTATAGTTTAAACGAAAAAGGACCGACTGGTGCAATACAAGTGATATTTCCTTAACGACAAGTCAAACATCGATCGTGGAAATCTTATGTCGCCACTTCTTGTGCTTCAAAATCTAGCTCACAATTCTACGGCGACGTTAGCTGTTGTCAAGGTAACAAACGCTTATTTTTTGTCACCGATGCTGCTTGTTTTTTTGACAGAGATTTGTTTTCTTTTGTACCAGTCAGTTTGAGAAGACAGCATTTTCTATTTTTAGGATTACATTATTCATCGTTTGCAACTAGAAGATGAGATTATTACCAGTGTAAGTAAACATTTAGTGTTTTTTACCTGAATTGAACGAAATGATTTCTTCAGAATGGTAGCCACTCCTCGGGACCTCCTCTTCCCCCTCCCCATTCACCCTTCACATCGTTGTAGCACTTTTAGTTTCACTAAATACTAAAGGCAAGATTAGCTCGGTCGGTACAGCGCTTGACTGCAGAGCGGGAGGTCGCGGGTTCGATTCCCGGGGCCAGACCAAAACTCAGGGTCTTAAAATAACTTAGAAATGAAGGCACTGCCTTTGCCCTGCAAATGGCTACTGACCCTCGCGTGACTCGGATGATCACGTAAAATGGCGGTCTCGTCTCCAGTTGGAGACGTACAATATAGTGTCCCCAATCAGTGCTTTGCTGCTAAATACATTGACACTCAAATAAAGTGCTTTTTTTTTCAACCACGCACTTTCTTGAAAGTTTTCAAATATAAAGAGCTCACTGCTTCTGCTTCAAAACCGTAGACGTTATTTTTGATGAAATGCGTGTCTTTGTGAATCCCACTTCACCCAAGACGTTTCAGTCATTTATACTCGCGTACATATGAAGTACAACAACAGTCCACCCAATTTGCGTTTCAGGACGAGCGTTATATACGGCAATATCGGGAGGAAACCGACAAAATGCGAAAAGAAATTAAAGAACTGAAGACAAGGTAGGGCTACTTTACTACACTTAACGAAAACATCGTTTGGTCATGGGCTCCTTGCGGCGTCATTGGTACTTTTTGGAGGATTAAATTTCTGCTCGTGCGGGTGGGCGTCATTTGTTTACGTGCAGACCACATTGTCTCCGCCTCTCTCTCTCTCCGCCACAGCGGCTCCAACGCACTTTCTTGTTTGTTGTAAGGACAATCCGCTATAAAAGTGGGTGCAAACGAGAAATGTGGATCTTTAGGCTTCTGGGTTGAAATTCCGTGTTGAAATAAAGCGTCTGTGTGTCTGCCTGCCTCTGTAGTCGCTTTATGCAGCGGATACAGTCATTTCTCTCTTAACGGAAACCTCTACAAGACTGACACCTCACTTAGACTAAAACGGACACCTAGAGTTTGTCCACGCCTTTCTTTACTACTTTTAGTCGACTATCTTTAAGGTGGACATCTCACTGACACGTACACGTAGTGTCTGTTGCAAAGGTATCTGTCCTAGATAGAGTTGACTTTATCAAAACATTTTAGTAAGCCTCTGTGTAGTAGGCAGATTTCAACTACGAACTTGTTCTTTTGGACATTTTTCGCTCTCCGTTGATAAGTTGATCTATTTAGTATCATTACCATAGTCTGATGAACACCATTAACGTTTTTTATTACAGTCCAAACCTAGTCAAGATCGATTTTTTTTTGCCTAGTTCCACTTGTAAAATGAGGCAACATCACTCTGTGTGAGAGGATAGGAACGCTCCGGATGGATAGGGATATAACCGACTTGAAATTCCAAAGTTACACCCTTCTCGTTCTTGTATTTGTAGAACAAGAGTTGAAAAATCCTTTTTAAGTGTTGTGATTCACGAACCTGGACAGAACAAAAATTAATGATTTTTTTGAGACACACCCTTAGTAGTGGGTGGGATGTTTTTCTCAATCAGGTCATTTATCGTTTTCAGCGCAAAGATATTTCAAGGTGCAAAATGCAGTGTGTGTTCCCGACCTTTGGATTTGCCAGCAGTGCATTTCCTTTGCCAGCATTCATTCCACCAAATGTAAGTACAACGGGCTTTATTTAAGAACTGATTCATGCTCAGCGTGCGTATATCGAGTTATTGATGCACACGGGAAGTTTAGAAAGCACGAGAGAAGCGTAAGAGTTCGCCGAGTACAACTCCAGCTTCTTGAGTGCTCCCCAGACTACCCGCATGTTTAATTAATCTTTGGAACAGCTTTTCTCCCCTTTCAAAAATGGTGTATAAAATGTTAAGGTGTTGGGCCTTGGGACACATGTGTGCGAAAACAGTCGTCTTAGCGCATTGAACTTGAGATCTCGAAATTGACGGGCCAAAAGCTTAGCCATTTTTAAAATGATGACATTTTCCCCGCAGCAGTGTGGTTAACTGAAGAAAGTGCGATCAAGCCTGCAAAGATAGCTTTCTAGGTTTTGCCTTTTCTGAAGGTCGTCCACAAAAACGAATGCCATAAGCACCGGCGTGCGTCTCTACACTGTGCCTTCAGAATATTAATATCTGACTTTTTTTATTTTGCCAGCTGCTTTGAAGGATATGCTGAATCAGATAACGAATGTCCAATATGCGCTCCTGAAAACAGGTACTTTAAAAATTTTTAATTCTGGGAGTCAGCCCATCGATCCTCGTTCCCATGGATATTTAAACCTGGTTAACTATTTGAACTAGCCAAGTGAAATGGTTATCTATGTTCATACAATATTGACAGCAAGGAGGCCAAAAGTGTGACCACTTTTAATTTATTCACATTGTTTCGTACAGATTTAATCCAATCAGAAGCCAGCTGGAAACTGTCCTCGACTTCTGATTAGATAATATCTGTATGAAAGTATGTGAGTTAATTAAAGGAGGTCACACTTTTGGGCTCTTTGCTGTAAGACTAGATTTAGATTAGTCCAGGGGAATGGTAAATCCCTATTTAAGCCATTATTAAACCAGGTTAAGTAACTCGACTAGTCCAGTGGAGTGGTAATCGTAGATTCAGATTTCGTAGATAAAAAATAAATGTGTGAAAAGGAACCTTTTGTATAATTGGTATAGCTTAAAAGCCATTATACAGGTGAAGATCATTTGCGTCTCACGTCTAGGAGGATTGTAACTCGTGGTGCAGTGCAAGACAACTTTACTAAACGTACTCCAATATACAAGTTCCTGCGTTACCTTGTAGTCAGCAGTATGAGCATTTGACACATGCTCAGGAAGAATCCGTTTTGTCGTCTTTTGGTAGTGTGTGGTTCGTGACTTTCAGTCGGCCAGCTTTGATGCTGCACACTACGTAACTTCGGCGCTTACAAGAAGCTTTGTCGCGTGATTTGAGTCCTACTCTCCAAGTCTGCTAGCCTGCGAGCAAGGTCTCCAATTATGCTCCTTTCGCGTACGGCTCTCGCGTGACTTCTTGCGACTCCCCCAATTGGAGAGCTTGCTCGCAGGCTACAAGTCTGCCGGCAGTTTAGACTAGTTTGTTTCACGGCCAAGCTTCAACAAATGTTTTTTCTTTGTTTGTTTTTAAACGTATTCGTCGAGTCTTCTTCCATATTGACCTTTGTTGTTCACTTGACAGGAAAGTACTTGATATTATACGACAACAAGAGCAGGCTAAAGATATTCACGAGCAGTTTCACCATCAGGTAACCAAAAACAGTCGTTTTGTTGTAGAGTCGTTTCGCTTCTTATCAATGTCGAGTCATCGTAGACTCATGTCGTTACAACTCGTGGAGGTCTCTCAGCCACATCTTAATGCCAATCCAATGGTGAAGTGGTGTCTCGAGCGTTTTCTTAGCCGGTTCCAGACGTTCAGATGGTAGAGCGCGGCGGTAAGTGGGGAGCGAGTTAAGTTGTAAACCGCGAAAACGGGGGGAGGGGCTCCCCCTTTCCCCCTCTAGTCTCCCCTCGTTTTTTTTTTTTTTCTTCGTGAATTTTTATCCGGCGCTCTACTATCTGAACGCCTGGAACATGCTAGCATTTTCTCAACAAACCATTTCCGAGTTCCAAAAACTCTCACTTTCAACACAAGGCTTCATGCAAAACGAGTTTTATTTGCATGAGAATAAAAAAAAAGTCATTTTCATATCAATGGTTACGCACTTAACCTCGCTTTGAAACAGAAGCTTGGGTTAACTCAGAAAAGACGTATTGTTTGACCAATTAAAACGGTCGTCGAGAATTCAGTACACCAATCAGAACTTGAAGCAACTCTGACTTGTACCGTCGCCAAGCGCGGGAAAGCGCACGCGACCAAGTCGCGATCGTTTTGCTTTTCACTTTTCATAGGTCGAGAGGTTTCAACCAATCCACAGTTTTAAGACACGGATCTGAAGCAGACGTCGTTTTTTTTTCTTGACGGTCGTGTGATGTAACACGATATTTAGAGGATGCAACAATTCTCGCAGCGGGGTCTGACTTGGATTTAGAAGCCGTTTTCGTAGGAAATTAGTGGGACATTTTCTGATTATCGTTTGCACAAACATCATCTCAATAATCACCATGTTTTGTTGGATGTTGTACCGTAGGATGTTGGTATCAATTAATTGTGGCTTAATTTGCAGCTTGAAAGAGCGCAAGATGGATTTTCTGTTGTCGCAGAATACTATGGTCGCGGAGTTTTTAACAAGGTTTGTCTAAATGCTGATGATTACATGCGAATCAATTTTTCTGTGAAGTAACAAATCATCAAGTGAAGAATTTCTTTTTGTAACCATGGTTCTAAAGTGTTTCGTGCGACCTTGAACCGCTGTCGGTATTGGTCGGCAAAGGTCTCCCTGGCGCTACACAGAAAAGACATGTATTTGAACACATTTTGAAGTGTAGTCAGGTTCATTGTGTTTGACCCCGAGTGGGGAATTCAATTACCCATAGGTAGCAGTCTTTTTCTCTTGTAAACGTTTTTAATCCAGCGAAATTTTCCACATTAGCCTCGGCTGCGAGCTACTTCCAGCTCTCCACTAAAAATACAAACATTTTTTATCGTATTTCTCGTTTTTCTCTTTCCCAGGTAACACTTGTAACCGACCACTCCGCCTCGCGGGGCCGTTTGTCCCAAGAAGCTGCTGTTGGCCAGCGTGAAAGGCTCTTGGATAGCTAGCGACGGATAGAGATACAAAGGGCAAACTATGAAAATTCAGTAATTCATTCTTCGTGGCTAGTTCGAGACAGTACCTGGTAATCCATCCGCGAAAGGAGTGTAGTATTTGCAATCATTTATATTGTTTATATGGCTTCACTTTTTCCAAATGTTCATTAAATACAGAGTGCCTCGGTGAATTTCTGATACGATACAAGAAGTGCTTAAATACATTCAGTTGCAAATTGGTTTTCATGTGTTATTGCTGTCTTGATCAGTAATTTACCTACTGGGACATTTATCATACCAGCATGATCGTCTCTCTCTTTTATTTTTTTGGAATGTTTATGTCCTAAAAAAAAACATTCGTGGCTGCTTAACGTGAAATGACATTAACACATCATAATCTTTCAAAAAAAAAAATCAGTACGTACTTATTGGTAAAATTTGTTATTATTACAAGGTTAAACATTTTGTACTAAATTTGCAATTAAACATAGACACGTTAACGTTGAATGAGGTATTTTGAAAGTAGAGTTATTTAATAAAATGATGAAACACTTTATATCCCGTCGTGGTCGATATTCCTCCAAATCACTGCAGCTCATCCCGCTCTTATCGATGTGGGCGCCTTTCTGGGAATTTACCGATAATAATACGGAGTATATACTAATGGCGGGCCTGCCTCACCTTGTCAGACCTCCTGTTTTTAATCCTTGCCAATTCACTTCGCGTTGGTAGTTTTCCGTACGGAATTTTCGTAGTGTCTGTCACGAGGATATTGCTGCAGTGTTTTTGGTCAATTCTTTGCTTAGGTTATTTTTAATACTTAGTGCCTTTATTCACGCTGTACATCAGAAAGATCCGCTTTAGCCGTCGTTTTGGTGAGTAGAATACAGTCTTATTTTTAGGGGCTTAATGTGGCTTAATTTGGACCCAAGAAATGGAATAGGCTTTTGTTGGGCCTTTTTTGGCTTAAATTGTTCACAAATCGCTCAGGAAAAGTTGAACAGGCTCTTTGCGTGACTTGATCACGAGGTCAACATTCGGTAAACACGAAAACAGTTCAATTTTGTTAAACCAAGCTCAAAGAGCATATTAAAATTAGTTACCCTTAGAATTTTCAGCCGTGTATCTTAAAAGTAGCGATTGCAACGGCCGCCGATAGTAGGAAGCATTTGTATGAGAAAAACAACTTTTGCCATCCAGTCACCCCTGCATGGTTTTCCATACAAATCTTTGTTATTTCGAAATTTTCAAAACCGTCATGAAATATTTCCTTAGGCAAGGCTCAAGTATCCATTTAATTCCCTTAAATGCGTCAGGGAAAGATTTATTATAAGAACTTATAACGACAGTTTAAAAATTTTAGAATTTACCGTACGAGGATTTGTGTACTTCACATTTATTCCTGCTCAACAACAGTCCACCCAATTTGCGTTTCAGGACGAGCGTTATATACGGCAATATCGGGAGGAAACCGACAAAATGCGAAAAGAAATTAAAGAACTGAAGACAAGGTAGGGCTACTTTACTACACTTAACGAGAAAATCGCTCGGTTATGGGCTGCTTGCGGCGTCATTGGTGCTTTCTGGAGGATTAAATTTCTGCTCGTGCGGGCGGGTGTCATTTGTTTACGTGCAGACCACATTGATACTTCTGGAGTGTAAAAAAGTATTTCAACTCTCTCTTCTCCACAGCGGCTCCAAGGCACGTGCTTGTTTGTTGTAAGGACAATCCGCTGTAAAAAGTGGGTGCAAACGAGAAATGTGGATCTTTCGGCTTCTCATGGGTTGAAATTCCGTGTTGAAATAAAGCGTCTGTGTGTCTGTCTGCCTCTGTAGTCGCTTTATGCAGCGGATACGATCATTTCTCTCTTAACGGAAACCTCTACAAGACTGACACCTCACTTAGACTAAAACGGACACCTAGAGTTTGTCCACGCCTTTCTTTACTACTTTTAGTCAGCTATCTTTAAGGTGGACATCTCACTGACACGTACACGTAGTGTCTGTTGCAAAGGTATCTGTCCTAGATAGAGTTGACTTTATCAAAACATTTCAGTAAGCCTCTGTGTAGTAGGCAGATTTCAACTACGAACTTGTTCTTTTGGACATTTTTCGCTCTCCGTTGATAAGTTGATCTATTTAGTATCATTACCATGGTCTGATGAACACCATTAACGTTTTTTATTACAGTCCCAACCCAGTCAAGATCGATTTTTTTTGCCTAGTTCCACTTGTAAAATGAGGCAACATCACTCTGTGTGAGAGGATAGGAACGCTCCGGATGGATAGGGATATAACCGACTTGAAATTCCAAAGTTACACCCTTCTCGTTCTTGTATTTGTAGAACAAGAGTTGAAAAATCCTTTTTAAGTGTTGTGATTCACGAACCTGGACAGAACAAAAATTAATGATTTTTTTGTGACACACCCTTAGTAGTGGGTGGGATGTTTTTCTCAATCAGGTCATTTATCGTTTTCAGCGCAAAGATATTTCAAGGTGCAAAATGCAGTGTGTGTTCCCGACCTTTGGATTTGCCAGCAGTGCATTTCCTTTGCCAGCATTCATTCCACCAAATGTAAGTACAACGGGCTTTATTTAAGAACTGATTCATGCTCAGCGTGCGTATATCGAGTTATTGATGCACACGGGAAGTTTAGAAAGCACGAGAGAAGCGTAAGAGTTCGCCGAGTACAACTCCAGCTTCTTGAGTGCTCCCCAGACTACCCGCATGTTTAATTAATCTTTGGAACAGCTTTTCTCCCCTTTCAAAAATGGTGTATAAAATGTTAAGGTGTTGGGCCTTGGGACACATGTGTGCGAAAACAGTCGTCTTAGCGCATTGAACTTGAGATCTCGAAATTGACGGGCCAAAAGCTTAGCCATTTTTAAAATGATGACATTTTCCCCGCAGCAGTGTGGTTAACTGAAGAAAGTGCGATCAAGCCTGCAAAGATAGCTTTCTAGGTTTTGCCTTTTCTGAAGGTCGTCCACAAAAACGAATGCCATAAGCACCGGCGTGCGTCTCTACACTGTGCCTTCAGAATATTAATATCTGACTTTTTTTATTTTGCCAGCTGCTTTGAAGGATATGCTGAATCAGATAACGAATGTCCAATATGCGCTCCTGAAAACAGGTACTTTAAAAATTTTTAATTCTGGGAGTCAGCCCATCGATCCTCGTTCCCATGGATATTTAAACCTGGTTAACTATTTGAACTAGCCAAGTGAAATGGTTATCTATGTTCATACAATATTGACAGCAAGGAGGCCAAAAGTGTGACCACTTTTAATTTATTCACATTGTTTCGTACAGATTTAATCCAATCAGAAGCCAGCTGGAAACTGTCCTCGACTTCTGATTAGATAATATCTGTATGAAAGTATGTGAGTTAATTAAAGGAGGTCACACTTTTGGGCTCTTTGCTGTAAGACTAGATTTAGATTAGTCCAGGGGAATGGTAAATCCCTATTTAAGCCATTATTAAACCAGGTTAAGTAACTCGACTAGTCCAGTGGAGTGGTAATCGTAGATTCAGATTTCGTAGATAAAAAATAAATGTGTGAAAAGGAACCTTTTGTATAATTGGTATAGCTTAAAAGCCATTATACAGGTGAAGATCATTTGCGTCTCACGTCTAGGAGGATTGTAACTCGTGGTGCAGTGCAAGACAACTTTACTAAACGTACTCCAATATACAAGTTCCTGCGTTACCTTGTAGTCAGCAGTATGAGCATTTGACACATGCTCAGGAAGAATCCGTTTTGTCGTCTTTTGGTAGTGTGTGGTTCGTGACTTTCAGTCGGCCAGCTTTGATGCTGCACACTACATAACTTCGGCGCTTACAAGAAGCTTTGTCGCGTGATTTGAGTCCTACTCTCCAAGTCTGCTAGCCTGCGAGCAAGGTCTCCAATTATGCTCCTTTCGCGTACGGCTCTCGCGTGACTTCTTACGACTCCCCCAACTGGAGAGCTTGCTCGCAGGCTACAAGTCTGCCGGCAGTTTAGACTAGTTTGTTTCACGGCCAAGCTTCCACAAATGTTTTTTCTTTGTTTGTTTTTGAACGTATTCGTCGAGTCTTCTTCCATATTGACCTTTGTTGTTCACTTGACAGGAAAGTACTTGATATTATACGACAACAAGAGCAGGCTAAAGATATTCACGAGCAGTTTCACCATCAGGTAACCAAAAACAGTCGTTTTGTTTTAGAGTCGTTTCGCTTCTTATCAATGTCGAGTCATCGTAGACTCATGTCGTTACAACTCGTGGAGGTCTCTCAGCCACATCTTAATGCCAATCCAATGGTGAAGTGGTGTCTCGAGCGTTTTCTTAGCCGGTTCCAGACGTTCAGATGGTAGAGCGCGGCGGTAAGTGGGGAGCGAGTTAAGTTGTAAACCGCGAAAACGGGGGGAGGGGCTCCCCCTTTCCCCCTCTAGTCTCCCCTCGTTTTTTTTTTTTTTCTTCGTGAATTTTTATCCGGCGCTCTACTATCTGAACGCCTGGAACATGCTAGCATTTTCTCAACAAACCATTTCCGAGTTCCAAAAACTCTCACTTTCAACACAAGGCTTCATGCAAAACGAGTTTTATTTGCATGAGAATTAAAAAAAAGTCATTTTCATATCAATGGTTACGCACTTCTCCTCGCTTTGAAACAGAGGCTTGGGTTAACTCAGAAACGACGTATTGTTTGACCAATTAAAACGGTCGTCGAGAATTAGTACACCAATCAGAACTTGAAGCAACTCTGACTTGTACCGGCGCCAAGCGCGGGAAAGCGCACGCGACCAAGTCGCGATCGTTTTGCTTTTCACTTTTCATAGGTCGAGAGGTTTCAACCAATCCACAGTTTTAAGACACGGATCTGAAGCAGACGTCGAATTTTTTTTCTTGACGGTCGTGTGATGTAACACGATATTTAGAGGATGCAACAATTCTCGCAGCGAGGTCTGACTTGGATTTAGAAGCCGTTTTCGTAGGGAATTAGTGGGACATTTTCTGATTATCGTTTGCGCAAACATCATCTCAATAATCACCATGTTTTGTTGGATGTTGTACCGTAGGATGTTGGTATCAATTAATTGTGGCTTAATTTGCAGCTTGAAAGAGCGCAAGATGGATTTTCTGTTGTCGCAGAATACTATGGTCGCGGAGTTTTTAACAAGGTTTGTCTAAATGCTGATGATTACATGCAAATCAATTTTTCTGTGGAGTAACAAATCATCAAGTGAAGAATTTCTTTTTGTAACCATGGTTCTAAAGTGTTTCGTGCGACCTTGAACTGCTGTCGGTATTGGTCAGCAAAGGTCTCCCTGGCGCTACACAGAAAAGACATGTATTTGAACACATTTTGAAGTGTAGTCAGGTTCATTGTGTTTGAGCCCGAGTGGGGAATTCAATTACCCATAGGTAGCAGTCTTTTTCCCTTGTAAACGTTTTTAATCCAGCGAAATTTTCCACATTAGCCTCGGCTGCGAGCTACTTCCAGCTCTCCACTAAAAATACAAACATTGTTTATCGCATTTCTCGTTTTTCTCTTTCCCAGGTAACACTTGTAACCGACCACTCCGCCTCGCGGGGCCGTTTGTCCCAAGAAGCTGCTGTTGACCAGCGTGAAAGGCTCTTGGATAGCTAGCGACGGATAGAGATACAAAGGGCAAACTATGAAAATTCAGTAATTCATTCTTCGTGGCTAGTTCGAGCCAGTACCTGGTAATCCATCCGCGAAAGGAGTGTAGTATTTGCAATCATTTATATTGTTTATATGGCTTCACTTTTTCCAAATGTTCATTAAATACAGAGTACCCCGGTGAATTTCTGATACGATACAAGAAGTGCTTGAATACATTCAGTTGCAAATTGGTTTTCATGTGTTATTGCTGTCTTGATCAGCAATTTACATACTGGGACATTTATCACCATGTGTTACTGCTGTTTTGATCAGTAATTTACCTACTGGGACATTTATCATACTAGCATGATCGTCTCTCTCTCTTTTTTTTTGGAATGTTTAAGTCCTAAAAAAAAAATAAATTTGTGGCTGCTTAACGTGAAATGACATTAACACATCATAATCTTTCAAAAAATTATCAGTACGTACTTATTTAGTAAGATTTGTTTTTATTACAAGATTTAACATTTTGTACTAAATTTGCAATTAAACATAGACACGTTAACGTTGAATGAGGTATTTTGAAAGTAGAGTTATTTAATAAAATGATGAAACACTTCATATCCCGTCGTGGTCGATATTCCTCCAAATCACTGCAGCTCATCACGCTCTTATCGATGTGGGCGCCTTTCTGGGAATTTACCGATAATAATACGGAGTATATACTAATGGCGGGCCTGCCTCACCTTGTCAGACCTCCTGTCTTTAATCCTTGCCAATTCACTTCGCGTTGGTAGTTTTCCGTACGGAATTTTCGTAGTGTCTGTCACGAGGATATTGCTGCAGTGTTTTTGGTCAATTCTTTGCTTAGGTTATTTTTAATACTTAGTGCCTTTATTCACGCTGTACATCAGAAAGATCCGCTTTAGCCGTCGTTTTGGTGAGTAGAATACAGTCTTATTTTTAGGGGCTTAATGTGGCTTAATTTGGACCCAAGAAATGGAATAGGCTTTTGTTGGGCCTTTTTTGGCTTAAATTGTTCACAAATCGCTCAGGAAAAGTTGAACAGGCTCTTTGCGTGACTTGATCACGAGATCAACATTCGGTAAACACGAAAACAGTTCAATTTTGTTAAACCAAGCTCAAAGAGCATATTAAAATTAGTTACCCTTAGAATTTTCAGCCGTGTATCTTAAAAGTAGCGATTGCAACGGCCGCCGATAGTAGGAAGCATTTGTATGCGAAAAACAACTTTTGCCATCCAGTCACCCCTGCATGGTTTTCCATACAAATCTTTGTTATTTCGAAATTTTCAAAACCGTCATGAAATATTTCCTTAGGCAAGGCTCAAGTATCCATTTAATTCCCTTAAATGCGTCAGGGAAAGATTTATTATAAGAACTTATAACGACAGTTTAAAAATTTTAGAATTTACCGTACGAGGATTTGTGTACTTCACATTTATTCCTGCTTCTTGATATTCCTCAAAATGGGCAGCTGATTGTTTAGAAGTGATTAATTGATAGATTTATTTATTCATAAGAGGATAAAGCTTTTTCCTCTCTTGATTTAACGTATTAACGGGTTCGTTTTCGATGATTTTACATTTTTGTAATTTCTAACTTGAAATTTAAAAAAAGCATAAACTAATTTGTATCATAGACCAGCTTTATTAAGCTTTTCGACGAGCGTATGATTTTTAAACAATTCCAAAGAAAGAAGGCCACGAAACTTTATACTGGCTTATGCGTCTTTCTGGTGACGTTCTGTCATTGTCCAGAAAACAGGAAGTTATTCAGCACCAAATCGTCGCGTCTTGACTAAAATTTACTGCAACTTAACTGTGTAACTCTTATTCAGTGTTTTCAGAATTCATGTTGGGTGTGTAGCATACATTTTTGAGTGTATGTGTTTTTGCGTATCGCTTCCCTGCGTACAATTTGGCAAACACGGAATTTTTCGAGATTTTGGAATTTAAAATATCTTTGAATTGGTGTGATTAGATCATAGTTTAGTGTATGAAGTGTTTTGATTTCACAATAAGGTTTGAGTAATTAATTTCTTAAATACACAGGAAGTTAAACAAAAGATAAAAGATAACCAAAAAGTCAAAAATGCTTAGCTCATCCTGTGTGTGCAGCACGTTTCAGGGGAACTTTTATTAACATCTTATGAAAACTTATTCTTTATTTTCATCGACTTTTAACATAACATTTTTCTTGATTGTAAACAAGAGATTTATATTATCTGATATGGAATCTGTTTTAAAATGTTCATAGAAACAGGGCTACCTTGGATATTGAACAAGTTCAACAATAGGACAAAATTTATTCCATTGAAAATTCTACTTAGGCGATGATTAAAATTCAGTCCTGAGAAACTATTCAATAAGATTTGCCCGAGTGATTCCAGGTGGATGTGATTTTTCTCGATTTTCGCTGTGTAAATTTAATTTTAAACGACGTAAAGGGAGCAAATACGAGCGGCAAATTGTTATTAATTTTTTTGGTTATTTATTATTATCATTATTATATTTTTTTGTTTCAGCATCGAGTTTACGAAACTGCAGCAGTATCAACAGTTAACGATATTAGAAGTCAGATCATTGGAATTAACATAAGGAAAGTAAATACAGTAAATGAACCAAAAAAAGACAATTAGTGATTATAATCTGACAGTCGTTACCAAAAGCTTAACAAAATCCCAATATTTCCTGTTCGGTGTGCACATAAATCTCAACTCTCCGTAGTGAACACATACAACTTTGTGAAACGCAGTTCGAGACCTGTGGAGATGAATCACCCAAGCATATTCATCACTTTCATCTTTGCCCTTTTCTCGTCGTATTCTACAGGGGACGAGGAAGCTCTTCAATTAAAGAGTTCCTCCGAGGACGAGGTAAGAGGCTGCTACAAGCACAATCAGACCTTGGCAGTTTGCTTTGATGTGAAGAAAGGCTCCATAAAGATACAGAAGTCCTCGGGGGAAGGAATTGTCTACTACCGAGAGCTTGGACCAGAAATGTTCCTCTATCAAGTCTTAGATAAGGCTTTTATTACCGGGTAAATATTTCCTATAAGTAGCAAGTTGTATATAATCATGCGGTTCAAAATTCTTTTAGAGTTTTAGCCCACCTGCCAAAATCTGAGATCTAGAAATATTAGTGCAAAATTTTGCCTCGCCTTCAAAAGTCTTTCAAAACCGGATGTGATAGTATTCTGCCGAAAAGTTTCCGCATAGCATTTTGTCCACAAGGATTCAGAAGTTAAAACCACTTTGTACATCCTTTCAGCTTGAGCAGTTTAACAAGTAAGTAGCTGGGAAAGTAACCTCACTCAGTAACTTTTATTTAACGTGCTCCCACCATCCACAGACTTCAGACTCGAGTAACAACCCATCCCTAGAAAGGCGTAATAGACAATCCACGGGCACCCAACGTCAATTTTTGGAAAATATCTGTTCGGAAGGCGATTTGAGATCTGGAATTTTCGGAACATTGTTGTAAAATTTCTTGCTTGCTGCCTCTCTTAGGATTTTCGAACATCTAATAAATGGTATAATTGCCCATTTTTAACAGATTATTACCCTAAAAAGGTCACCTAGAATTTTCGGGAGCTAGGTTTTCATCCCTATAATTTTCGGATCACTAGACTTTCAGCTAGGAAATCCGAACAGATGAAACATTTTTAGGGGATAAAAATATACCTATATCTGCCGTTTAAATACTGAAGTACGTTTAACAATGCTATGTTTAAGTGGTTTCGAACTACATTCTCGTTGGGTGCCCCAGACAGTCCGCCCTCCATTTGTGATGTGGTCGCTCCAAGAAAATTTTAGTGCTGTGCGAAGCGTCCGTTTGCTTTTCGATGGTGCCTGCTATGAAAACAAACTACAGTCGACTCCCGTTAACTCGAACCTTTAAGGGAAATCGAAAAAGGTTCGAGTTATCGGGAGTTGAGTTATCGGGAGCTCGAAGAAAATAGCCGGAAGTAAGGTAACAAACAGTTTTTACTGTACAGTGAACATTTTAATCACATTTTATTGCAGAAATGTTAAGTGAAAATTGAAAGATGCTTTTAGGTAAAAATCACAACGTAACATGTGCTAACGAAACATAGCCTAAATAACTCTAAATAGAGCATGCGTTTTACTGTTTTGAGAAGTAAAGCTGTTCACGTTAGATTTGTGACAAACATCAGCCTCCACTAGTAAACTATATGTCTACAACTCGTCAATAGGACTTCAAAATTCAATGTTTCGGACGCCATTACACGGTTTTTTCCCGACTGTTTAAGCGCTCAAACCATGGTTCGAGTTAGCGGGAGGTTCGAGTTATCGAGGATTCGAGTTACCGAGGGTAAAATTACGGTAAAAGTATGAAGGAAATCCGGGGAAAATCGTTTTTGGTTCGAGTTAGCGCGAGGTTCGAGTTAGCGAGGGTTCGAGTTATCGGGATTCAACTGTATAGCGTTAGAGATTAGAGAAAAAAAACGGGAATGCTGGATCAGGATACCCCCCCCCCTCCCCCCCCTCTCCCCTCCCCTTCAAGACCCTGCTTTACTTATTTCTCTATGAACTTGTGTCTCTCAGTCGTGGCGCTTCGATGATTTACGTACCAGATGACGTTCCACGCACGCCAGAAGCTTTGCGAGCCTTTTCCAATGACATACAAGTTGACGATGAATACGAATCTCCGGAAAGCGTCTATCAAGCAGCCCTTCGGGAGCTTCACCGTATGCCAGAATTGCGGCTGCTAGAGCGAGTGTCATCCGCGTTGGCGGACAACACGACGCGCCTGAAGATCCTTGAGCCTTTCCATGGCCTGTGCCTGAACCTCCTCAAGGCCGCAGATGTAGAGATTCCGGATGAACTCAGAGCTGAGCCTGACCAAAATGACCGTGACAAGCGCTGCTCAAGACCGACGGCGAATAACTGTCGTGGAATGTGTGGTCCCGGATGCTCTTGTTGGAAGTGGTATTGCGGCGACTGCTGCTGGCATAGAGGTTGCTACGAACATGATTTGTGTTGTAAAAAGAGTAGATTCAGTTCATATTGCCTTACGCCCCCGGGATGCAGTAGTTTCTCCGGTTACCCTAAATGCCTTCGTAGCTCCGGGTGGAAGTGAGGTCTTCTTGGATAATGAGTGAAACGCCATCCCACATACGAGTTACACACTAGCCTGTTCCAGGGGTTCAGAGAGTGGAGTGTGGCGCGAAGTCAGACTGGGGAAAAATTTACGGAGAGGGAAAAGGAAAAGAGAGGGAGAGGGGAGGGAGAGGGAGGGGAGGTTCCTTTGCCTTCACTCCCTACCCCCCGCCCCTTCCCCCTCTTTCTCTCATCCCTCTCTTCGCGCTGTCCGGACCCACAATCTGAACGCCTGGAACAGGCTAGTTAAGCAAAAACTGACACACGAGAACCCTAGTAACATTCCACTGACTTACACGTACATACGGATAGGTACATACGGGTAACCAACGGATACATATGAATACAGACGAGTACCAGAAGTACAGAAGCTAAGTTTTATCATCGATTATCTGTAAACCTGTAGCCAATCAAACTCACTAAATTTAATAAAGGAATGGCGAAAAATAGTCTTTAGTCAAATGTCACGTGATATTCAACACCCATAATTTATAGCTCCATCGCGGGACGAGATTAGTTGTCAACAGCCCTTTGAATGTTGAGTTGAATCTCATTGACACATATCAGGATATGTTCAGTTGTTTTATTTTCATCGACTTTTAACATAACATTTTTCTTGATTGTAAACAAGAGATTTATATTATCTGATATGGAATCTGTTTTAAAATGTTCATAGAAACAGGGCTACCTTGGATATTGAACAAGTTCAACAATAGGACAAAATTTATTCCATTGAAAATTCTACTTAGGCGATGATTAAAATTCAGTCCTGAGAAACTATTCAATAAGATTTGCCCGAGTGATTCCAGGTGGATGTGATTTTTCTCGATTTTCGCTGTGTAAATTTAATTTTAAACGACGTAAAGGGAGCAAATACGAGCGGCAAATTGTTATTAATTTTTTTGGTTATTTATTATTATCATTATTATATTTTTTTGTTTCAGCATCGAGTTTACGAAACTGCAGCAGTATCAACAGTTAACGATATTAGAAGTCAGATCATTGGAATTAACATAAGGAAAGTAAATACAGTAAATGAACCAAAAAAAGACAATTAGTGATTATAATCTGACAGTCGTTACCAAAAGCTTAACAAAATCCCAATATTTCCTGTTCGGTGTGCACATAAATCTCAACTCTCCGTAGTGAACACATACAACTTTGTGAAACGCAGTTCGAGACCTGTGGAGATGAATCACCCAAGCATATTCATCACTTTCATCTTTGCCCTTTTCTCGTCGTATTCTACAGGGGACGAGGAAGCTCTTCAATTAAAGAGTTCCTCCGAGGACGAGGTAAGAGGCTGCTACAAGCACAATCAGACCTTGGCAGTTTGCTTTGATGTGAAGAAAGGCTCCATAAAGATACAGAAGTCCTCGGGGGAAGGAATTGTCTACTACCGAGAGCTTGGACCAGAAATGTTCCTCTATCAAGTCTTAGATAAGGCTTTTATTACCGGGTAAATATTTCCTATAAGTAGCAAGTTGTATATAATCATGCGGTTCAAAATTCTTTTAGAGTTTTAGCCCACCTGCCAAAATCTGAGATCTAGAAATATTAGTACAAAATTTTGCCTCGCCTTCAAAAATCTTTCAAAACCGGATGTGATAGTATTCTGCCGAAAAGTTTCCGCATAGCATTTTGTCCACAAGGATTCAGAGGTTAAAACCACTTTGTACATCCTTTCAGCTTGAGCAGTTTAACAAGTAAGTAGCTGGGAAAGTAACCTCACTCAGTAACTTTTATTTAACGTGCTCCCACCATCCACAGACTTCAGACTCGAGTAACAACCCATCCCTAGAAAGGCGTAATAGACAATCCACGGGCACCCAACGTCAATTTTTGGAAAATATCTGTTCGGAAGGCGATTTGAGATCTGGAATTTTCGGAACATTGTTGTAAAATTTCTTGCTTGCTGCCTCTCTTAGGATTTTCGAACATCTAATAAATGGTATAATTGCCCATTTTTAACAGATTATTACCCTAAAAAGGTCACCTAGAATTTTCGGGAGCTAGGTTTTCATCCCTATAATTTTCGGATCACTAGACTTTCAGCTAGGAAATCCGAACAGATGAAACATTTTTAGGGGATAAAAATATACCTATATCTGCCGTTTAAATACTGAAGTACGTTTAACAATGCTATGTTTAAGTGGTTTCGAACTACATTCTCGTTGGGTGCCCCAGACAGTCCGCCCTCCATTTGTGATGTGGTCGCTCCAAGAAAATTTTAGTGCTGTGCGAAGCGTCCGTTTGCTTTTCGATGGTGCCTGCTATGAAAACAAACTACAGTCGACTCCCGTTAACTCGAACCTTTAAGGGAAATCGAAAAAGGTTCGAGTTATCGGGAGTTGAGTTATCGGGAGCTCGAAGAAAATAGCCGGAAGTAAGGTAACAAACAGTTTTTACTGTACAGTGAACATTTTAATCACATTTTATTGCAGAAATGTTAAGTGAAAATTGAAAGATGCTTTTAGGTAAAAATCACAACGTAACATGTGCTAACGAAACATAGCCTAAATAACTCTAAATAGAGCATGCGTTTTACTGTTTTGAGAAGTAAAGCTGTTCACGTTAGATTTGTGACAAACATCAGCCTCCACTAGTAAACTATATGTCTACAACTCGTCAATAGGACTTCAAAATTCAATGTTTCGGACGCCATTACACGGTTTTTTCCCGACTGTTTAAGCGCTCAAACCATGGTTCGAGTTAGCGGGAGGTTCGAGTTATCGAGGATTCGAGTTACCGAGGGTAAAATTACGGTAAAAGTATGAAGGAAATCCGGGGAAAATCGTTTTTGGTTCGAGTTAGCGCGAGGTTCGAGTTAGCGAGGGTTCGAGTTATCGGGATTCAACTGTATAGCGTTAGAGATTAGAGAAAAAAAACGGGAATGCTGGATCAGGATACCCCCCCCCCTCCCCCCCCTCTCCCCTCCCCTTCAAGACCCTGCTTTACTTATTTCTCTATGAACTTGTGTCTCTCAGTCGTGGCGCTTCGATGATTTACGTACCAGATGACGTTCCACGCACGCCAGAAGCTTTGCGAGCCTTTTCCAATGACATACAAGTTGACGATGAATACGAATCTCCGGAAAGCGTCTATCAAGCAGCCCTTCGGGAGCTTCACCGTATGCCAGAATTGCGGCTGCTAGAGCGAGTGTCATCCGCGTTGGCGGACAACACGACGCGCCTGAAGATCCTTGAGCCTTTCCATGGCCTGTGCCTGAACCTCCTCAAGGCCGCAGATGTAGAGATTCCGGATGAACTCAGAGCTGAGCCTGACCAAAATGACCGTGACAAGCGCTGCTCAAGACCGACGGCGAATAACTGTCGTGGAATGTGTGGTCCCGGGTGCTCTTGTTGGAAGTGGTATTGCGGCGACTGCTGCTTGCATAGAGGCTGCTACGAACATGATTTGTGTTGTAAAAAGAGTAGATTCAGTTCATATTGCCTTACGCCCCCGGGATGCAGTAGTTTCTCCGGTTACCCTAAATGCCTTCGTAGCTCCGGGTGGAAGTGAGGTCTTCTTGGATAATGAGTGAAACGCCATCCAACATACGAGTTACACACTAGCCTGTTCCAGGGGTTCAGAGAGTGGAGTGTGGCGCGAAGTCAGACTGGGGAAAAATTTACGGAGAGGGAAAAGGAAAAGAGAGGGAGAGGGGAGGGAGAGGGAGGGGAGGTTCCTTTGCCTTCACTCCCTACCCCCCGCCCCTTCCCCCTCTTTCTCTCATCCCTCTCTTCGCGCTGTCCGGACCCACAATCTGAACGCCTGGAACAGGCTAGTTAAGCAAAAACTGACACACGAGAACCCTAGTAACATTCCACTGACTTACACGTACATACGGATAGGTACATACGGGTAACCAACGGATACATATGAATACAGACGAGTACCAGAAGTACAGAAGCTAAGTTTTATCATCGATTATCTGTAAACCTGTAGCCAATCAAACTCACTAAATTTAATAAAGGAATGGCGAAAAATACTCTTTAGTCAAATGTCACGTGATATTCAACACCCATAATTTATAGCTCCATCGCGGGACGAGATTAGTTGTCAACAGCCCTTTGAATGTTGAGTTGAATCTCATTGACACATATCAGGATATGTTCAGTTGCTTTGCCCCTTCATTCCCTGATCGATGTTAGTTGGTCTGATATGTCGCTAACACTGTAACAATTTTAGGGCCCGTTAAAAAGAATGCATTTCCTGATTATATCCTTTCTTTCAAGTTGGATTACATGGATAAAAATAAAGTCGTTTTTTGGTAAAGAGAATATAGTTCAGATCATAACGCAAACCTGGCGGAAACGTTCTGTCATGCACAGGGTTTCCATGGTTTCTGATTACTTTGGAGAAACCCTGGTAACGAGGTCGCTCTCATCCTCTCCGTGTTGGTGTTGCATATAGGAGGTTATGAGCTTCGTTGATGCTTTTCCGGTTAAACAGAACAAAGGTTAATAAAAGGTCCGGCATTTATCAGTGACGTCCTAGCCTGCGTAGCAAGCGTTTCCAATTGAGTTATTGCGCAAAAAGTTGGAGCGAGAACACTTCATTCCTCTTTTTTGCACTTGTCCCAACTTTCTCGACGAACTCGCGCTGAAACGCTTGCTGTGCAGGCTAGTGACGTCCCGGAAGTTGAGGTCTCGAACAGGAGCTTTGTTCCTTTGTTCCCCATTGCAATACGCATCACTTCCGGTTATTAGCAGAACGTGACTTCCGTGACGTGTTGTAGGCCACACGTTCAGTGGCCTCCTCACATAGTCCTCATATCTGCGGCCAAGTAGCTGGACCAAAGTGAATGACTTCGCTTAAGTGGTAAATGCCTCGAGTTAGAACTGACATTTAAAATAATGTGAGGACACTGACTGTTCTTACAGCACTATTACAACAAGGTAAGTTGGTCATGTTCCATTCTGACAGCTAGATCTATTATAACTGGCTGCGTTGATTTCCCAGCCTGGTATATGTAGTGAACGTAGCGCTATCACATGTCCCGCTTTTGGTCGCTCTTGGAAGCCTCCGTCGATTGTCTTTAGTGTGTCTTGCTTACCTTTACCTTTAGAATGGTGTAATAGGCTAAACGAAAACAAAATCTGATTGCAAGTAAAAAAATTAATTGAAATTTGAAAAAAAATAGAGCCGTGTAGACCTGCCCAAGTCAGTTTGAATTTTGTTTGAGACTGTGGGCGGACGAATGTACACAAAATTAAAGATTATCAAAAAAGAGATAAAAGCACAGGTGAGGCTCCAAGTCTTGTCAGAAAAATCATTTGCTAGCTTAAGCTTGCGATTCATATACCTTACTTTTCTCAGTGGAACTTTTCACAAAACTCAGCTAAGAAGGTGTTCGACATTAGATGCCATGTAATGTACTGAATGGGCAAAAAAACAAACTGGCTGCAAAAATTATTCGACATTGGATGCCATCTCGTAATATACTGAAAGGCAAAAAACGAAGCCCTCGTGGGAACTTCCAAGAAAGTCTCTCTCAAGAAAGACGTTCTTCGGGCTTCGTCACGCTTTCCTTCCTTACGATCTAGTGTCACAACCCAAATTTCTTGGATGCACTGATACCTATGGTGCTCTGCTGCGCGCTCTTCGCGCGAGCGAGAACTCCGCTAGATGTACTATGTCTGCTTGCCTATCCCTAAAGGTGATGTTACACGGGACGATTCGCAACGCCGGACGACTTTTAGAGCAACACAGCGTAGCAATACTGGACCAATGTTCTAAACATTCGAAACAATGTGGCAACGATGTTGCAACGCTATGTTGCGCTAAAAATCATCGCTTTGAATCTTCTCTTGTAACATCACCTTAAAGATAGCGTCAAATACTGTGATATTTGCCAGTGTAAGTTATTCTGAATTTGGATATGATATTAACCGACTGCAGTTTTCTATAAGGATTCTTTAAGATTGCAACTTTAAGAGTCAGGAATACTGAGAACATTTATCAAAGGGCAAATTGAGTGACTTGGACGTCTTAGCTTATTCTGTTTCAAACATTTTTGCATCACATTAAAGGAGTTTAATTCTTTTCTTCCGTTTGATAAAAAATTCCATGTTTAATTGTAATCTAAAGGTTTCTTGTAAGAAAAAGCAAATTAGGCCGGGTCGAAAAATACTGAAGAGTTGATTATTTTACAATGCCAATTCGAAGCAATGAAGGTATTTTCTCGCTGCTGTCAGCCCAATGTCAATCAATGTAACATTTTTCATTTTTAGAGAAAAAAAAGAAGCCTTGATTACCGATTTTGTATCCATTTCCCATGCCTCGAGAACGATTTTATCAGAAGTTAGGCCTCGACTTGGTTCAAGCCACTCAAAATGAACTGGATTTTCTACAGCAGGTGGACGAATGTCCATCGCTTTACAAGAGCTCGGCTCTAAAAAATGCTATCAGACGATATGAAGTGTTTTGGTTGCCTCTTGCTGCCAGAGAGGGTTATGGGAGCAGATTCCTCGCCGCTCCATTAGATATTGCATGGGTGTGGCACGTTCATATGTTGTCGCCGTATAACTACGAACAAGATTGCCTCAATTGTGTCTCAAAAATAGTCGACCATGTTCCTCTTGGGGACCTTGAACGCAAACGCGGTTTAGAAAAAGCGAGGTACCTGTGGGAAAGGGAATACCCAGATGAGCCGTTTGAAATCGATTTATCTCAATCACAGATTGTACAGGTGGATTGCAACAACTCTAAGATTCAATACGATTTAGAAAGAGGATGTTACCGCCAGTCCAAATTCTATTATCAAGTATCTTTGCCTCATTACAGAGATGCTAAATTTCTAGAGAAGGCTGTTGAGCGATATGAACACCATGTTATGTTCAACAAACAAAATCCAGAGGTATTTGTCGTTCCATGTTACGATTTCGATCTTATTTGGCACGTGCACCAGCTTCATCCGGTAAACTACAATGAAACAACAAAGCGTTTCCTTGGACAGGTGTTACACCATGATGATTCTGCAACGAGCCGCAGTCCAGGATCTCTGCTGTGTGACTCAGAGGCAAAGACAAGATCACTGTGGAAAGCTGCAGGTTTGCAATTTGCCTTGCCGGGGACCATGTACAGAGGAGATCCTCCGGACCCTCTTCCTCCAAGATCAAGGTGGTCGTACGTTCCACTTGCTCGCCGTGAATATGTAGTGGACATTCTTCAGGTAGAAACATTCAATATGAATAAGAAAACGTTTCTTATTCAATTAGAGGACCCCCAACAAGATGAAATTTTTTCACACAGTTTTCAAGGTAAGCCGTAGCTTAACCCGCCTACAATATTACCAAGAACGAGCGCCATGGCCCTTGTTCAATTCACTCCTTTATGTCTTCCGACTGATATCAACAGATGTTTCTAGCATGCATTTATCCGAACAAACACATCAACTCAAGGCCCAGGGGGTGAAAAATTCAGTGAAACTTGGATAAGCGGTCACCCTTTGGGAATGTCTTAGGGCCTGTTTACATGGAAGTGGGGAACCCCAGGTAGGTGAGGTAACCGGCTTAGGTGGAGTGAAAAAATAACCCTCCTTTACATATAATCTTACAACCCCGCCACCTCGGGGTGCACATTTTCAAGATTATTGAATGATCGCTAAGCACGTAAACAAGAAAAATGCTGCAAAACCTCGTGTTTTGGCGATTAATGCTCTTCTACACTCACGTGCTGCTCTTGCTGCAACCTTCAGTGCTGTGGCTTTCTATTGCTACCTTTAATAATGATGCAAAGCCACCGCCAAAATGAACTTTGCTCGAATTTGATGTATTCCGAATCCGACCCCTGCTAGGCGGGTTACCCCACCTTGAAACGTTCACATGCAAACTTTGAACCCGGCTGAGAGGGTCACCCGGTCTGGCAGACCGGGCTACCCACCTAGGCGGGTCACCCCAGCTATCACGTAAACGTGATCCAAGTAAAATGAGAGATTATATGGACAGGTGGGTTACCCCACTTAAGCGGGTTGCCTCACCTACCTGGGGTCCCCCATTTCCATGTAAACAGGCCCTTACTGACCGCTTCAGGTTGACCAGAAAATGCAGGAGGTCAAAGAGCGAAATATATATCCCACGACAAATTGACCTCCAGCTGTTTCCACCTCTTCTTGGGCCAAAAGAAAGAACGTTAAACTTGACGCCATACACAGTGCGACCTGTTGCACTAGTATGGCACGTCTTCTGAAAGTGACCGTTTGATAGAGGTGAAGACAATAAAAAATAGATCTAGAGAGATTAAGAGTCACGTTTACGACAAACGGAAAACATCAGATTCAAGGTTGAGAATTTCTCAGAATAAAATTTGGAAAAATAAGCCGATAAAAACTGTCCAAAAAAATTCTTATAGATAAAACTGGCGTAAAACTACTTATTTTTGAGTACAAGTAATAAACAGAAAACGGGTCTTGTGGTACAAATTCACGTTTACCGTTTGGGGTAAATGTAACTCTTATAAGAGTTTAAGCATCACGTATACGGCAAACGGCAAACTTCAGATTCAAGTTAAGAATTTCTCAAAACACAAAATGAGCAGATAAAAGCAGCTAAAAACAATTCTTATGGATAAAAAAATTGCGTGAAACTACTAATATATGTGTTGAAATAATGGAAAGTAAACGTGGAACAAATTCACGTTTGCTGTTAGACGTAAACGTAATACAGAGACCTTAAGATCGAGGTTTGCGAGCGCTTGAGATGACGAACATTTTCTGTCCGTTTCGTTTGTTAGCAGTGGCGGATCCAGGGGAGGGGTCCAGGGGGCCCGCCCCCTTACTTTTAGACCGAACTGGGGCCCGAAGGGCCGAAAAAAAAATTGAGACGAGGCCCCCCCTTATCTCAGGGTCTGGGTAACCGCCTCCTCCCCCCCCCGCCCCTTCCCACTCTCCCCTCCTTTTCAGAGGGTCTGGATCCGTCACTGGTTAGTTATCACCACTCTGGATGTTTTTTTCCGTTGAAATAACTCTAAAAGTTGTTTTGATTATTTTCCTTTGAAGGTAACCGTGCGGTGAAGAATCTAAACACTAAGCGCTTCAGTGTAGATAATGGCGAAAACCACACACTCACAGCTAAGATATACCGCAAAAAGTTACTTTTGCAAAGTGATTTTATTGCTCAATCCTCCGTGAGTGTGCTAACATTCCTCGATGCTGCTCCAGTCAGCGGGGCGTTAACTGCATCTGTTACAGTTTCCTTCAAAGATGACGATGGTCAGTATATGGCACAGATAACGATGATAATCAGTCCTGCAGCTGTTCAAGAATACAACTTTGAATTTAAAACTGGCAGTTTCTATGCTCATAAGCATCCCTCGGAGGTTCTTAATAATCCCCAACTTGTGCTGCCTCCTAAAGATCTGGCAAAACCGATGTTGGTGTGCAGTTCATCTTCAGAACAAATAGTTGATTGGAGAGAAGCTGAGGCGTTCAACTATCGTATAGTCCATTCCAGTTATGGACTGATATCTGCTGTTGAGGTCCTAAATCGGGAACAGCAAGTCGTTGCTTCAGCTCATACCATCAACCAAAGTTTATTGCCTCAGGCAGAAGCCGTTCAAGATGCAAACAAGTGCATAGTCTTGAATCAAACGGAAGGCGAGAGAGCCATGCTTATTCGAGGAGAGAATAAAGACTGGGGCGTGTGTATCGGAAAATGGCAGGAGGAAATTACACCAAAGGATGCGAAAAAATACGTAGTAAATAGGTTCGTTTTCCGGACCCTCTTCCTCCAAGATCAAGGTGGTCGTACGTTCCACTTGCTCGCCGTGAATATGTAGTGGACATTCTTCAGGTAGAAACATTCAATATGAATAAGAAAACGTTTCTTATTCAATTAGAGGACCACCAACAAGATGAAATTTTTTCACACAGTTTTCAAGGTAAGCCGTAGGTTATAGTTAGCTTAACCTGCCTACAATATTACCAAGAACGAGCGCCATGGCCCTTGTTCAATTCACCCCTTTATGTCTTCCGACTGATATCAACAGATGTTTCTAGCATGCATTTATCCGAACAAACACATCAACTCAAGGCCCAGGGGGTGAAAAATACAGTGAAACCTGGATAAGCGGTCACCCTTTGGGAATGTCTTAGGGCCTGTTTACATGGAAGTGGGGAACCCCAGGTAGGTGAGGTAACCGGCTTAGGTGGAGTGAAAAAATAACCCTCCTTTACATATAATCTTACAACTCCGCAACCTCGGGGTGCACATTTTCAAGATTATTGAATGATCGCTAAGCACGTAAACAAGAAAAATGCTGCAAAACCTCGTGTTTTGGCGATTAATGCTCTTCTACACTCACGTGCTGCTCTTGCTGCAACCTTCAGTGCTGTGGCTTTCTATTGCTACCTTTAATAATGATGCAAAGCCACCGCCAAAATGAACTTTGCTCGAATTTGATGTATTCCGAATCCGACCCCTGCTAGGCGGGCTACCCCACCTTGAAACGTTCACATGCAAACTTTGAACCCGGCTGAGAGGGTCACCCGGTCTGGCAGACCGGGCTACCCACCTAGGCGGGTCACCCCAGCTATCATGTAAACGTGATCCAAGTAAAATGAGAGATTATATGGACAGGCCGGTTACCCCACTTAAGCGGGTTGCCTCACCTACCTGGGGTCCCCCATTTCCATGTAAACAGGCCCTTACTGACCGCTTCAGGTTGAGCAGAAAATGAAGGAGGTCAAAGAGCGAAATATATATCCCACGACAAATTGACCTCCAGCTGTTTCCACCTCTTCTTGGGCCAAAAGAAAGAACGTTAAACTTGACGCCATACACAGTGCGACCTGTTGCACTAGTATGGCATTTTTTGCATCACATTAAAGGAGTTTAATTCTTTTCTTCCGTTTGATAAAAAATTCCATGTTTAATTGTAATCTAAAGGTTTCTTGTAAGAAAAAGCAAATTAGGCCGGGTCGAAAAATACTGAAGAGTTGATTATTTTACAATGCCAATTCGAAGCAATGAAGGTATTTTCTCGCTGCTGTCAGCCCAATGTCAATCAATGTAACATTTTTCATTTTTAGAGAAAAAAAAGAAGCCTTGATTACCGATTTTGTATCCATTTCCCATGCCTCGAGAACGATTTTATCAGAAGTTAGGCCTCGACTTGGTTCAAGCCACTCAAAATGAACTGGATTTTCTACAGCAGGTGGACGAATGTCCATCGCTTTACAAGAGCTCGGCTCTAAAAAATGCTATCAGACGATATGAAGTGTTTTGGTTGCCTCTTGCTGCCAGAGAGGGTTATGGGAGCAGATTCCTCGCCGCTCCATTAGATATTGCATGGGTGTGGCACGTTCATATGTTGTCGCCGTATAACTACGAACAAGATTGCCTCAATTGTGTCTCAAAAATAGTCGACCATGTTCCTCTTGGGGACCTTGAACGCAAACGCGGTTTAGAAAAAGCGAGGTACCTGTGGGAAAGGGAATACCCAGATGAGCCGTTTGAAATCGATTTATCTCAATCACAGATTGTACAGGTGGATTGCAACAACTCTAAGATTCAATACGATTTAGAAAGAGGATGTTACCGCCAGTCCAAATTCTATTATCAAGTATCTTTGCCTCATTACAGAGATGCTAAATTTCTAGAGAAGGCTGTTGAGCGATATGAACACCATGTTATGTTCAACAAACAAAATCCAGAGGTATTTGTCGTTCCATGTTACGATTTCGATCTTATTTGGCACGTGCACCAGCTTCATCCGGTAAACTACAATGAAACAACAAAGCGTTTCCTTGGACAGGTGTTACACCATGATGATTCTGCAACGAGCCGCAGTCCAGGATCTCTGCTGTGTGACTCAGAGGCAAAGACAAGATCACTGTGGAAAGCTGCAGGTTTGCAATTTGCCTTGCCGGGGACCATGTACAGAGGAGATCCTCCGGACCCTCTTCCTCCAAGATCAAGGTGGTCGTACGTTCCACTTGCTCGCCGTGAATATGTAGTGGACATTCTTCAGGTAGAAACATTCAATATGAATAAGAAAACGTTTCTTATTCAATTAGAGGACCCCCAACAAGATGAAATTTTTTCACACAGTTTTCAAGGTAAGCCGTAGCTTAACCCGCCTACAATATTACCAAGAACGAGCGCCATGGCCCTTGTTCAATTCACTCCTTTATGTCTTCCGACTGATATCAACAGATGTTTCTAGCATGCATTTATCCGAACAAACACATCAACTCAAGGCCCAGGGGGTGAAAAATTCAGTGAAACTTGGATAAGCGGTCACCCTTTGGGAATGTCTTAGGGCCTGTTTACATGGAAGTGGGGAACCCCAGGTAGGTGAGGTAACCGGCTTAGGTGGAGTGAAAAAATAACCCTCCTTTACATATAATCTTACAACCCCGCCACCTCGGGGTGCACATTTTCAAGATTATTGAATGATCGCTAAGCACGTAAACAAGAAAAATGCTGCAAAACCTCGTGTTTTGGCGATTAATGCTCTTCTACACTCACGTGCTGCTCTTGCTGCAACCTTCAGTGCTGTGGCTTTCTATTGCTACCTTTAATAATGATGCAAAGCCACCGCCAAAATGAACTTTGCTCGAATTTGATGTATTCCGAATCCGACCCCTGCTAGGCGGGTTACCCCACCTTGAAACGTTCACATGCAAACTTTGAACCCGGCTGAGAGGGTCACCCGGTCTGGCAGACCGGGCTACCCACCTAGGCGGGTCACCCCAGCTATCACGTAAACGTGATCCAAGTAAAATGAGAGATTATATGGACAGGTGGGTTACCCCACTTAAGCGGGTTGCCTCACCTACCTGGGGTCCCCCATTTCCATGTAAACAGGCCCTTACTGACCGCTTCAGGTTGACCAGAAAATGCAGGAGGTCAAAGAGCGAAATATATATCCCACGACAAATTGACCTCCAGCTGTTTCCACCTCTTCTTGGGCCAAAAGAAAGAACGTTAAACTTGACGCCATACACAGTGCGACCTGTTGCACTAGTATGGCACGTCTTCTGAAAGTGACCGTTTGATAGAGGTGAAGACAATAAAAAATAGATCTAGAGAGATTAAGAGTCACGTTTACGACAAACGGAAAACATCAGATTCAAGGTTGAGAATTTCTCAGAATAAAATTTGGAAAAATAAGCCGATAAAAACTGTCCAAAAAAATTCTTATAGATAAAACTGGCGTAAAACTACTTATTTTTGAGTACAAGTAATAAACAGAAAACGGGTCTTGTGGTACAAATTCACGTTTACCGTTTGGGGTAAATGTAACTCTTATAAGAGTTTAAGCATCACGTATACGGCAAACGGCAAACTTCAGATTCAAGTTAAGAATTTCTCAAAACACAAAATGAGCAGATAAAAGCAGCTAAAAACAATTCTTATGGATAAAAAAATTGCGTGAAACTACTAATATATGTGTTGAAATAATGGAAAGTAAACGTGGAACAAATTCACGTTTGCTGTTAGACGTAAACGTAATACAGAGACCTTAAGATCGAGGTTTGCGAGCGCTTGAGATGACGAACATTTTCTGTCCGTTTCGTTTGTTAGCAGTGGCGGATCCAGGGGAGGGGTCCAGGGGGCCCGCCCCCTTACTTTTAGACCGAACTGGGGCCCGAAGGGCCGAAAAAAAAATTGAGACGAGGCCCCCCCTTATCTCAGGGTCTGGGTAACCGCCTCCTCCCCCCCCCGCCCCTTCCCACTCTCCCCTCCTTTTCAGAGGGTCTGGATCCGTCACTGGTTAGTTATCACCACTCTGGATGTTTTTTTCCGTTGAAATAACTCTAAAAGTTGTTTTGATTATTTTCCTTTGAAGGTAACCGTGCGGTGAAGAATCTAAACACTAAGCGCTTCAGTGTAGATAATGGCGAAAACCACACACTCACAGCTAAGATATACCGCAAAAAGTTACTTTTGCAAAGTGATTTTATTGCTCAATCCTCCGTGAGTGTGCTAACATTCCTCGATGCTGCTCCAGTCAGCGGGGCGTTAACTGCATCTGTTACGGTTTCCTTCAAAGATGACGATGGTCAGTATATGGCACAGATAACGATGATAATCAGTCCTGCAGCTGTTCAAGAATACAACTTTGAATTTAAAACTGGCAGTTTCTATGCTCATAAGCATCCCTCGGAGGTTCTTAATAATCCCCAACTTGTGCTGCCTCCTAAAGATCTGGCAAAACCGATGTTGGTGTGCAGTTCATCTTCAGAACAAATAGTTGATTGGAGAGAAGCTGAGGCGTTCAACTATCGTATAGTCCATTCCAGTTATGGACTGATATCTGCTGTTGAGGTCCTAAATCGGGAACAGCAAGTCGTTGCTTCAGCTCATACCATCAACCAAAGTTTATTGCCTCAGGCAGAAGCCGTTCAAGATGCAAACAAGTGCATAGTCTTGAATCAAACGGAAGGCGAGAGAGCCATGCTTATTCGAGGAGAGAATAAAGACTGGGGCGTGTGTATCGGAAAATGGCAGGAGGAAATTACACCAAAGGATGCGAAAAAATACGTAGTAAATAGGTTCGTTAGCATCAGGTTTTTTAAACTGTTTCGTGAACAAGGTTGGTGCCTTGTGAGAAAATCGGGCGGAATCTTTGTGATTAAAGTGGACTCCAACACGGTGATGAGACTGAACATGACGAACAGCAAAGTGTACATTTCTCCACACGCTCAAGCCATTCCGGAGGTTCTGGCTCTTTCACTGTCAATAGCTGTTCTTCATCTGCTCTGTATGCCTTACGTGCCTCAAGAAGGGTTGGAATCAAGTCACGATGACCAGATATCCGTAAGGGATCCGATCATATCACCCATGTTACTCGCTGCTGGTTTCTATTGTCGTATTGTGCCCACTAATGTGTACATGAACCGCGTACTCGGTAAAGATTCCTGCGCTTCCTGTGGAGGCTACTATGGACTTGCTACTTATGATTTCAACGAAGATCCGGTTCTTGAGTGGAACAAAGGACCGGTAAGCAGAAGGAGGAGCTCGAGTGAAAGTGCTTCAGGAAAAGATGATCAAGAAGAAGAGCTTTAAAACCCAAACCATGGAAGGCGCATTGGAGCCGGTAATAATGAAGAGGCCTCTGAAAGCTGTAGAGGTAGTAGTGGAAATGAAAGACAAGAGATGAGACATTTGAAAAGCTCTTCGAGAGAGCATCTTCGAGCTGGTCTCTAGTACGAGGAAAATCTCCAAACGAGAAGACTGGTGACTAGTCAGTTGGTTTTCCTTTCTTTGCAATTACCCTTTGCGTGCGCATGCGCTTTTTATAAACTGAAAGGTAGAGGAAAAGTGCGAGGGGTGATACTTCTTTTTCTTAGGGCGCTTTCCATTTGTCAGACCATTCCCGTCGCATTGGGAATTTCACTTTTAATCAAGAGTATCCAACCACAGCCGTGAAATCCTAAATAATTTGTACGAAGGCGATGGTTTTTCAGCAAAATCCGTTTTAAAAAAGCTTACGTCATTGTCAAAAGGACATCCGGCCATGGTTCGGCTGGCCAGTTTTGACGTTTGGAAAGCGCTCTTAGACTTCTCGACACAGGTTCTACTATTTCAGATTTTAGTTTGCGAATTCGCCTATGAACTTGTAACACTGGATTATTTTTGTATGCGTAGCAAATATGCTGTAAAAGTCACCTTCGTCTCTAGAGCAAGCTCAGCGCAAGAGTAACACTCCACAATTAATAACAATAACAGTATCTTTATTATTATTAAGCTAATCTAATTAAGTGCTTTTTATATCGACAGGAATTGTATACAGTGTTTTGAATGAATAGTTTTTTTTCTTTTTTTCAAGCGAATTAATTGTAAATAGGATTTTAATAGTTAGCATTGTTCTCAATAAAATTTTTTCTATTCTATTATTATTATTATTATTATTATTATTTTCAATTGATTTGTGTACCCTGTCAAACCGCGTAAGGTTTTTGGTAAATGTAAAAACTCCTTTTCACCAAGTTCAACCTTCAAGAGAGTCCCTTGGTGAGGTCACCAAATAGAATTCGTACCAGTCTTCTCGGTTACAATAATTTAATTCAAGTTTCACTATGGTTTACACAGAAAAAGAGAGGACACTTCTGCTGCCATACTGCGTCCCCCTACCCCACCCCTCAGATTACGTTTTTTGTCTGCCTCACACTGGGTGTACAGCTTGTTTGCGATCTCACTTTTTCTATGAGAATGAATTTTAACATAACTAAGTTAAATTTCTTGTCCATTTCTTGTCCATGAAGTTTAAAAGGATGAATGAACCATATCTTGTTCTTTGGAAAATATACAAACCAGAAATACCTGCTATCAGTCACTCGAAAATCATTCTTTCTGACATCTCCCGGTATATAATAGCCTGGAAGTCGACCTATGTTCTCACTTCGTTCTAAGAACCGAATTATTGTGGGTATAGCAATTTCCAAGAAAACCTTTTGTTCATAAAACGTTTCCGCCAGAATTGAAAACGCTTTTGCGTGCTTTCTTGGAATGTACAAAATGTCCGAGCGACCGCTGAAGCAGCGCAGGCTTCCATTGCTGTTCTTGGAGAGAGTACCTAGGTGATACTTAACGTTGAGTTTCTTCTCACCGAAATTCATATTCGCCACATCTTCGCAAGCTCGTCGGCAGTTATTTAAACCGTACGGGGAAATCCACCAGTACCAATCAGTGCGTGCGGGTTCGTAAACCGGAGTCGATCCAAAAGAAAACGACGACTCCCATATCTTTTCCCGGTCAAAATCCGGGAAATTCCAATAATTAAGAATTACGTCATCGCTGATGTAAAAATAGCCCCTGTATCCCGGATGTTCACGTATCGCTCTTCCAAGGCACTCATATCCCAGAATACCTCTGTAGATATTAACAGTGAGGATTCCAGAGCGAGTTGTGTTATGAAGAGGTCCGCAGAATAAAAGATGAGGAAAGGCTGGTCTGTAAAGCGCGCTAAGGTGAGGTATACTGTCGTAAAACGGGTAGTTGTAAACAACAACAAGCAAAATGTCTTTAAAAGTATCCTTAAGGCAAGGGCCATCGCCTTCTTTTCTTAGCTGATAGTTGCTGTTTGCAGGTACGATGTTAAAAGTGCGCTGATCTCTGGGTGTGTCCAAGCGAGCATTGTTTGTACAATTGTAGCCTTCAAATAAAGGAAAGACATAATTTAACTTTTAGAATGTGAAAAAAAAAGGGATTAGCTGTACAGATTTTTTGACTGGAACAGGACTGGTCCTACGAATGTGGAGTAGATGATAGGAATAATTTTTACCGAGCTTTGATAAATAAAACTTTCAACTTATAGCCGTGCAACTCACTTTTCACCTTCGAACTTAGAAGAGTGGTTCAAAAGCGATAAAACTTGATCGCCCAATGGGGACTATCATGGGAGGCCTGGAGACATTTAATCCAAAGCTTGGTGCACAGAGTTGCTTAAGAACCCGTTTATATAAACAAAACTTGTTCCGGGTGGAAGCCAGGGCCACCCGCCTAACCGAGCTACCCCGTGCGAGCCAGCTTTTCCTATATTTCCTTACAAAACTTGGTGCACCGTTTACATGAGAAACCAAGAAGCTAGCTCGGCTAGGAGGGCGACCCACTTAGCCGGGTCCATCCACCTTTCTCCATATAAACATTTTGGCACGCCAAGCCGGGCAAAACTTCGACTAGGTATGCTCTAGTTCTATTGACAGCTCTTTGCTCGGTCAAAGGTGTCTACTTTTTCCCCAGACTGAAACGCTCGCTAAAGTTGATTTGGCTGGGAGGGTGACCCCCAGGAGTTACTCAGCAAAGTTTTATGTGGGGAGGCTCCACCCCGAGGTCCAACCCCGTTTTTCGGAAGAAAAGGAACTGCTTTCGTACACCTTTCAATGTCAAATGGTATCCCTTTCACATATCTAGTTTACAACTTAGCATTCCTTTTATTTGCTTGAAATGCACTGTCTTTTAGTTCTAATATGAATAAATCACAAAACCAGACAATTTTCGCGACTCTTTCACAGCCATAAATTCCTTCTGTCACTCTTGTGGTCAATTTACAGACTTACCCTTTCATATACCTCAAAAAATCTCTACCTTTTCATAAACCTGATCCCAGTTGTTCAAAAGATGGATAACGCTATCCAGCAGATAAATCACTATCCACTGAATAGCGCAATGGTTTCCCTAACACTTATCCGTGAGGTGATTTATCCGGTGGATAGCGCAATCCAGCTTTTTAACAACGGGGGGCTGAAGCCTAAAAAGGGCCCCTTTCGGGCGGAGCCTTCCCGTATAGGACATCATAGGGAGTACCCCCACTGGTGACCCTTTTTCTAGGGGCAACTTTTTTCCTTGTAAAGGGTGGCCTAAGAGGGCAACTAATTCTGTTCTATGCTTACCTGAGTAAATAGTCAAAATCACAATACCAAAAGAACAAGCGAGGCAGATCCAATGTTGCTTTGACAACAAACCTTGTAAAAACATGCAGCATTCTTTACTAACAGTCCAGCGAACGGGGACAATCTGTAGGCGACGAAATATATTGAACGTTAAAATTTCAGAGTTCTTTTTTCAAAAAGTGTGTTAAGAAGTAATATTAGGTAATTACATGTTGTTAGGCACCGGCTTAGCTAGCGCGGCGCGTTGCAGGGTATTCGACCATTCGGGCGCCTCCCACACGAGCTAGTTCGGAGACTCGGGTTAAATCACAGAACCACAAAATTAAACACACTTAAGACACAAAAGAATAAAAAGATCAAAACAGGAAAATATTCATGTGGCAAAATTCTTACTAACCATGACCTACCCAAGATCAATGAAACAAACACAAAATTAAAAGATGAGATACAGTCAACTCTCCTTAAGAAGGACACCTTTGGGACCGGTACTATGTGTCCGTGTTAGAGAGAAGTCCGTCTTATAGAAAGTCAAATAAGAGGAGTAAAGAAAAGCAGGGACCAACTCTAGGTCCGTCTTATAGAGGTGTCCGTTAAGAGAGAGTTGACTGTAGATCTTAAAAATATAATAAGTCTTGAATTCAAAATACTTCACAACATAGTATGTTATAAATGAGGACACCAAAGTACTGGTTGGAAGAAGGGTTGAAGAAGTGTGTTTAAACAATTACTACAGCTGTTCTCACGTACTCTAGTGTCAAAGACATGCATGGTGCTGATAAACGACGATGTTTTAAAAATCGTCGAACGAATGTTGCTTAATTTGACCTTCAATTTCTGAGCGCTCCCGTTTACTTAGATGCGCAGTTTAAATGTTGGAATTTTATCTGAATGAAGCATATTCTCGCTCCATGTAACTTATAAGATTAAGATTATAAGACAGTCGTGGACTGTGGATTCCATGTAATGGATTCCAGTCTTTGTCAGTGGAATTTGGATACTGGATCCAATTGCGGATTCCCTGAGCTGTATTCCAGGTTTCAAAGCCCAGGATTCCCGTTTTCCAAGCAATATTTTTCTCCAGAACAAAAAAATCTATATTCAAATTTTCAACCTTTTATTTTCTGTTTCTTGTTCACTAATGTCATATTCCCACTCTAAATTTCCCTGTTACTGTTGAAAAGAGCCTGTCTTTGGCCGAGGGACTCGGGAGAGAGTAGTTTGCTCAGCTCTGTGATTCTCTCAGTCAGATGAATCGCTAATTGTAATTTCAACAAGATTTTTAGACTCCACTAAAAAGTCTATCTAAAGACTCATCAGCAATTGTCCTCACGCTTAATTAACGGTTGCCTTTCTTTTACAAGTCTAAAACCATTTTTTTTTTAAATCAAGCAGTGTCTACAATACCTTGATGTCTTGTGAGGTTGAATTCATCAAGCGGCTTCAAATACCAAGTTTAATTCTTATCCGTTTGTTTATAAAAGAGGACCTGCTCCAACTATTCACTGATATTCAGGGTGGCAAGATCATAGCACCTGTTAATCTCGTACCCAGATCTCACTCTGTTTTTCCCTTGACCGTGGGAGATCTGGGTACGAGATTAAGCACCTGTAAATGCAGTGCTTGTGGGTAATCAACACTCAGATTCTATCTTCAAAATAGTATTTAAAATGCTATGAGCCTTTTACGTTTAAATTCCGTCACAACAACAGACTGACGGGCTAATTATCCAAAGGTTGTTCTGTGTAGTCACCTGTTGACTTCGAAAAGGGCGTATTCACTCTCGTGGCCAGCATCTATGCTAATTTATACCAACAAAAGAAAGTTTTTACATAAGACAAGAGTTCAATTCCTACAGGGTTGTCTTGGTACACCAACATGGCCGCCATTTTATTGTTTTGAAACACCAATATGGCCGCCGTGACGTCATGTGAATACGCTCTATTGGTACATTGAAGTCTTGTTAGTTCAGCCGCGTGATTGGCTGACTTAGTTTGCGTTGCAGAGTAATCTAACAAGGATTTCGGCGCTGTTTGGCAGACAGACTTAACCAGAAATTTACTTGCGTCAGTAGGGTTGGCTTGGCCAACTCCTTGAGTTTCACCTGTCAATTAAAAGTGTTCAAAAAAGGAACTGCTCCATGCTATGGCGAAATTTATTGCTTGATGTTTTTCCCTTTTGTATTTTGTGCTCATTATTGAAATTTCAATAATATACTTTGGCACGGGTTCAATATTTCGATAAGGTTTAGACAGTTTTCTCTCTAAAACTTTAATTCCAAATTATTCATTGACAATTAATTTCCAGAAGAGGCGATCAGGCACGCAAGACATACTTCACGCAGTATAATACCGCTATATGCCGCCGACAGGCAGCCGGTAAAGACAGACATCTAGCTTAGACGGACTGGCGAGTCCCTTTTGGGTCTAAAGAAAATAATTTCCTTTAATTGCTTTTAGCCTGATCACAACATCCTCTAGGGTGAATTTCCTCCGCTCTCCGGCGATTCCAGTCTTCGTTTGAAGGGTCACTCGCCTACCCGAGCCACCCTGGGCAAGGCACACTTAGCTATTAAATGTTCTTACAAAAATTGCCGAATCGTTGACGTGAGAAACAAAAAGTTACCTAGGGTGGAAGGGTGGCTAGACTGTTCACAGTCCCCTATTTTTTCGTGAGATCGTTTAGATATGCCGCGTCTTACCGTCACGCGTATCTTGATTTTCAAATGTACCGAGGGGGCGGGCGTCGGGAATTATAGCTCTGGGAAGTAGGGAGGGGAGGGCGCTTCCTCCCAAACCGCCCCCGCCCCTAAGTAGTTTTGACACTCATGCAAGATGGCAGCGCGTAACACAAAGCGCTCTATCTCGATGATCTTACGGAAAAATAGAGGACTGTGAACAGTCTAAAGGGTGGTCCGCCTTGTTGGGTCACCCTTCTGTGACAGTACGGTCACCCTCTAATTAAGCGGGCCAACCTTTCTCCATATAAGAGTTCGGGCTCGCCCAGCAGGGTCAACACGCTCAGGGCGAGACAATTAGAACACGCGGCAGCTTGGCTGCTGTTTGTTGGCCGAGTCCTTCGCTGGGAGGGTGATCCTCTTTCCCATGACTACTTTTCTCAACGGGGCCTCGGTCAACCAGAACGTAGTTTAGGTCGTGTTACGATTTTTTTAAATAAATGAACCGATTTGCATCACCTTTTGTTATTATTATTCAGAAAACGCTTCCATTCTTTTTATTTGTTTAAGAAAGGTTTCACGTAAAATTTTTCAGTCGTGTTTAAATAAACATTCGCAGGAATCGTATTTGGAGCAGGGTGATCGCGCGAATACAGTTATTTGAGTCTATGCCTGCTGACAGTACCTAACCGACCAACGCGCTCTAACCTGCTGACAGTGCCTAACCGACCAACGCACTCTAACTAAAGAAAGCGACTGATGCCAAGCGAAACACTATATGTTTGGGAAATGATGGCCTAACAAGCCAAATAAAACATTTGTTTTATCGGCTTTTCAACCAAACATGGGAAAAGGATTAATTTATACTTTCATTGTTGTTTTACGTTCCCGTCGATTACTTCTGCCGCCGGGAATTCTCTGACAAAATCATGGATTTATAATAGTTCTAGTGCAAATGTTAGGAAAAAACTGGAAGTAAAACGAAACCATTAGTTTAGGTCTCTTATTGACAAAGTTTTTTTTTTTCATTTTGGTTGTCTGAAATAAATAAAAAAAGGCACCAGGATGAGCAGGTGAAATCATACACAGCCGAAGATGAGTGACAGCAGGGCTTACTCAGAGACACTATTGTCAAGTAAAACGCCTTTCAGTTTTAATATCTTTCTAAAAGCAAATGTGAAAAAAAGACGATAGAATTCGCTTTCATTATGACAAATAAATGAACTTCAGCGGGCAGCCTATAAGCTGAATGAGCAAAGCGGTGCTTGACAATCGTTTAATATACGTAAACTAAGTAGAGTTACGTACGCCAGTTGCTTTTTGATTTACATTTTGACGGCTAAAACCCGGTGCACATTTTGCCTTGGCATCATACAAGTACTTTTTTTCTCTTTCTCTCACATTTTTCATGCGATGTCATTAAACTCTTAGTAATAGTATAAGAACGATGTAAATAGCACAATGCCGAGTTGAAAATAATAAATATTCCCAGCAATTTCTCAAGTTCATAGAATTCAAAATCATTGAAAAATCTCAAGTTGGGCAATAATTGACGTATTTGCCCTCAGTAAATAAGCCTTCGTCTTTAACTTTCACAAATTCAACCTCACCCACCGACTGTTAATGGTTAAGAGAGGTAGAAGCAGTCTTCTTAATTCAGTAGCAACTTTTCCGGGGAACTTATAATTAAGAAAGTTAAAAGAAAAAAACAATATAACAATGTTTGACGTTTTTTGGGCGATATCATCTGATAATGGTTTAAAGAAAAAAAAACTCCGGTCTAGTGGAACTGCGGGAAGCTGTTCAAAAAAATGACCAAAGTCAACTTTTATTCTCAGTGTGTCTGGTGGCTGCATGCTGTTCAAGTTTTGCATATGTTAACCTGGTAACTAGCTACTCTAGTAGATCGTTCCACTAAGTATCAAGCAAGCGTGTTTAGTTCTGTAGGTCTTTCTGTCGGTGTGTCTTAAAATTAAACTGTTTCAATGTATTTGATTTCTAGACAATCGAGACTTAAAACTAACCATGGTTATAGAATCCATATTCGAGGATCTTGTTTTCGAGAAAATCGCCTTCACTGCTTGTCTAAACTTGGGAAGCCTCCATGCGTAGATGAATGGGTCGATCAAGAACTTAAGAAATAAATTCGCATCTGTTATAACATTAGCCATTGTGGCTTTTACCACCCCCTCGTAAGTTTGTGGTGTATAGTAAAGGGTAACATACCACATTACAGTCACTGGAGCCACAAAAAAAAGCAAACAGGTCGCGAGTAACAAGCTTATTACAAAAAAGTGCCTTTGGTCTTTTCTGCGACGGTGCTCCCAGGCATCTGTGAGTTGAATTGAGGTAATGGCATTTGCTTGCAAAGGATTCAACTGCGCTAACTGACGCCTGTACGAAACCTGCAGCGCAATGTAAGCGAAAAGGACCAGTAGATGTATGAGAGTCAGGTTCAGAAAGACGTCGATTTTTTGAAACGCCTTTTCAGGTACGCCCATGAGAAGTGAGCTCGAAAACAGCAGGGAATAAGCCCATATTCCGCAAACGCAAACCAAGACTCTTTTGCCTGTAACCAGCTGTTTGTGGCGATGAGGAAACGAAATTGCAATGAATTGAGTCCAGGAGAGAAACAGAATCGTCAGAATCGACACGTTCATTGTAACGCTAGATAAAACTCCAGCCGCTTTTAAAATGCTATTGTAACGTTCCGCGCTCATTCTGTCCCTATAGACTTCGAAGTAGAAGTAGGCGAAAAGTGGATCCACAGCAAAGCCGGTTAAAAAATCAGCTACTGCTAAACCAGTGATGAAGATGGTAGGCGGTTGACGGAAGACTTTAAAAGGATCTTGGTAGAGAGCTATGAGTAGAACTCCGTTGGCGAGAGTTGTTAAAACCGCCAAGACTGAGAGATAAACAGCAGACAAGAAGCACAACACTAGAAAACGATTCCATAAAACTTCGTGGCTGTTGCTCCAGTATTTCAGTTCAGAATCGTTTAACGAAAGGTTCATGTTCAGTCACTCTACAAAAATTATTACCACTTTTAGTTTTACAGACTCTATTTTAAAATGTAGTCTAACGCACGTTGGTCGAACACAACGCTATAACTTACAACACTTGAAGTAATGCCGAGAAAATACATTTGAGTTTCATGAGTTTCATTTACGTCAATTGTAAGACAGTTTCTTCCCGTTTAAAAGCAATCTGCAAATGACGTATTTACAAGCTTTGTTTGTTTTAGGCCAATTTTTGACTGAATGACGCAAAGGCAAATTAATGAACTCTTTTTTTTTTAGTACTTTTTTTTGTCTTTTTTTAATGTTCAAATCGCACTTTTCACTTTGATTATATTCCTTGGAGAAATTCTTCCTATTCAGCCAAGAGGCTTTCAAATTGTCATTCACTTCCATTTTCTTGCAAAATGAAAACAATTATCGTGACGACAGTTGCCACGCATTTAGTTAGTAGTTTTATAAGATCGACACAAATTTATTTTATAATAGTTAGTGTAGTAAAATAATATGCAAGGACGAGGGCAAATTGACTAGAAATGTGTCATGAAAAAACGCGAAATGAATTGTGATTGGCTAGTCCTAAAAATGTTTCATAACCGACCCATGCATTAAGTTTAACTGTTATCCAACTTGACCTCCACTCACCCCAGGAAGACCAAGCTCAAGCTGTAAATCTGTCAGTTCGACTTGCAATTTCCCCATATCACATTTTTTTTTCCAACAAACTTTTGCAAAAGCTTTGTTTTCAATTTCTCTTGCAACCAACATTCGACCCTTGAGAAGTTAAAACAAAATTTACGCAAATTTTGTGGAAAGTCGTAGATGGTCGACAGTGTTGACATAAGTGTTCCGCGACAAAAAGTCTGGAATCGAGGATATATCGCATAGTGATGTAAAGAGCATGCTAGTAGCCCATAATAATGGATTAACACGGACTCACGCGGTTCTACTAAGCTATCATGACTATCGACTATCATGGAATCTGATATGGCTTGTTCCCAATCTTCTCTATAGATTCTGATCGGAAAAGTAGCATAATATTACATTACACCCTTCCCTCGTAACGTAAGTTTGGGCTACCTGTGCTTACGCGTTACGCGCGCATTCCCAAACCCGTAAGCACTGGGGTCTAGAATGCGCCAAATCGCGCCAGATCGCGCCAATTGATATATTTGCTTTGCGGCGCCATATTGAAGTTTGCAAACACATCGCCTTCCATGCGAAATGCCTGCTCACTTCAGGGCCGTTGAAAATGCCGTGGAAAGTGTCAAAAAAGTTAAGCAATACATAAACAATGGTTTAGGTGTTACTTTAGACGTAGCTTTGGATTTGGAAGAGGTTTCCCAGGACAGCGAACAAGTGAAAGAGCTTGAAGACACCATGCTTCAATACGTCGACATGGAACGTGAAGTGGATCAGTGGGCGAAAGCTGTGGAACTCGCGAAAGCAGAGTTTAATCGCCAGTATGATGTGTCCAGGTGAGTTAGTTTAGATTCAAATTTGAGAGTAGTTTGTGGTGACATTTCGGTCCCAAAACTACATAACAGCATAAATCAGGAGCGGACCACCCTGTGTAGGCTGTGTTCCTGTGTTTATAGTAGTTTAATTTTATTTTTGATTTTATTTTGATTTTCTTTTATTTCCAACTCATTATCACACATACCCATACCCAATTTGTCATCGTTTAATTTTTTTATCTGGTTCCTATTACGTGTACAGTAGTCGAACGGGGTCACCATCTGTGGGCCCGGTTGGTCCCCCTAACATTTGAACCACCTCGTTTCAACTCCTAAAGGGGGTCCCCTGGGGGAATTTAATGTGACAATGTCCCCTGGGTCATGTGATTCTCAACGAACCCCCCCCCTGATATCCACCTCATATAACTGGAATTCACTTCATTTGCAAAAAAAGCATTTTTATTATATTTAGGATGAAATTTTACTCATTCATGTTAGGCTTGGAGAAGTGGTATAATATCTTTATTGAACAAAAATCACTACAATGAAAGAACACCTGAGGACAGATTCACCGAGGTTAGGAGAGACTGGTAGTTTCTCCGCAGACTAGTTAAGATGACCTGAAATAATCTACCTCTACCTCATGATGCTCGAAAATTACAGTTATTCATTGTATGTCATTTATATATTAATTTTTTATACTACTACATGAGAAATTTCTGCAATCTGATTGGCTTAGAGCAGTGGTATTTCAGCTTAATTTGAAATACCTACATGTGAAAATTACAAACCTTTTGTGGGTAGAAGTATAAACAAATAATAGCATGATTTGTACGTGATATATGGCATAAATACCACTCGTGATATTTCAAAATTCTCTCAAATTTCACTCGCCTAACGGCTCGTGAAATTTTGTATAACAATTTCAAAATATCACTCGTGGTATTTATGCCAAATATCACTACAAATCATGCTATTACCTATACAAATACCAGCGATATCATTATTCTTTTTTGCGAACAGGAACAGGAGCAGTACTTTTACATGTGATATCCAGAGGATAACCAAGCAATGTGTGCATTGCCAAAATTAATGTACTATGCTGGGCACATTTTCTCAGTAATTTTTCTTTGGGACATCTTGTGTTGAATGATCTTGAATCAAATTCCCAGTCCTCAAGAGAGACATTCCTCTCCAGGCCTCTCTCTGTAGTCACGTACATGTGCAGAGTCAGGTAAAAGCTTGTATTCCTCCTTTCGCCGCTTGATGTTACCCATGATAATTGTTTGAGGAAAGCGATAAATCCCTGTGGTATCCCCATGGTTACTGCCTGCGATTTCACAAAATTTGCAGTTCCCCTACCCTCTTCCCGTCGAACTCAAAACAATGTTGTGAATTTTCCCCTCCTCAGGGGCAGAGAATCCAATCTATCCCCTTGTATTCCCCGACATATTCCCCTGGTTGGCCCAGTGGTCTACCCCTAGGGCAAGCCAATGACATGTGCATAAAATTGACCCACAATATCTTATTGCTATTAAAATCCTGATTGAACCATGATAAAACGGTGATTTCAAGTGCCACAGTTTGCTTAAGTTCAAAAGAAATGTTTTAATGTGTCATATATGTACTGTGTTTTTTCACCAACCTGAGCTTCAGAAGGTGTTATTTTCCGATATACAACTGTAATTACTTGACGACCTGCTGGAGAGTGAAGAATGAGAATGTGGAAAGCAGATTTCAGGGCTTTCCAGGAAAAGCCCATAATGTCCCTAATTCTTTGAATACCTCACCTAAAAACAATGGCATGTATGTCTTCATGCTCTGCAGAAGTGGAACTCCATCCTTCCAAAATTCACGGAGAAAAATGATCCCAAAATCTGAAATGCGACAAAAAACAATCAGAAATTTCTGCAACCACAGAGCTTGAGAAGCACAAAAAAACGAAGTTTGAGCCTTTTAACAGAACTGCAAATAGTTCCCTCAAAATTTTACCTGTTTAAATATTATTATTGTTTTCAAGTGATGACATTCCAAGCATTGAGGAAATCTTCCAAGAGAAGCTTGACTCTTTGAAATCAAAAAATAAAGATTCAGACTTGGATTGCCACCAGAAGGTTAAAGAATTCAGAGAGAAAGTCTGGAGTATTCACCATCAAGGACAACCTATGCCAAATGCCAACACACAGCCAATGGGAGATGAAGACATTGTGATGTCACAGGTGAGGAAGAGAAAAACATAGTGGGCATAGTCATGTTGTAGATAGTTGATTAGATTTCTGGGGCCTAGGTCCCTTCTCTTGAAAGTCCCAGTAACTTTTCAGGCTTAAAAGCAAATATTCAAATCAAAATCTAAAGAATGAAAGATGGTTAGAGGCTAACAAACCACTCCATTTTGGGGTTATGTTTTAAAGTACATTGTAGTCGTTTCATTCAAGTTACCGTAGTATCAATGATGTCAGTCCCATGCTAGGCATAACTTCTAATACGGTGTTTATGGGAAATGTAAACAAGCTTTTTCTCTCTCCCTCTGGACTTGGATTTGAGTCAAAGTAAGCTGGTCAGAATAATCATGATAAAAATTGAAGGAATGTGAATTCACTTTTCAGAGGAATGTTTTCGCAGCTGCAGCTGTTGTTGCACATGATTGTATCTTAAACTACCAAATGGTAATTCTGTGGTGATGAGTGGTTACCCCAACAGATTTTTCTCTCAGCTAGTATTATAAGTGTAAGCATGCTCGAACTCTCCTCATGAAACATTGTCACAGCATTCTATTTTCTATCTCTTTAGGCACCAGCAGAAAAGACCAAATGCCCTCTTACCATGAAGGAGATGGTCAAACCCATGAAGAGTAAAGTTTGTGGTCATAATTATGATCACGATGCTATCGTTCAGCACATTAACAGAGGGCGAGGTAGAGCTAAATGTCCTGTCTGTGGACAGCCCATCTCAAAAGGGGATCTTGAACATAATACAGTACTAGAACATTCTATCAAACGAAAGAATAGAAGAAAATAAGAGGTGTTCTGCACACAGCCTGTTTAGGGATCATTCCCTTCTATGTATGCAAGGCGCTCACCAGCAGATGTTTGCTCAAACACTATTCTTTCTATTGGCTTAGAAGAGGGATTTGTTACAGTTGTCTAGGTTAGGCTTTTCTAAGTAGTGTCCCTGGGTTTGAAATTGCAAACAGTTTGTCACTAATAAGTCTCACATAACCCATTTTGCAGATGTTATGCAATGTTTGCAATAATCAGAATAATTACTCATATTTTTCATATACACCTAAAAACACTGTCAGCTTTAGATCAATTTACATGTACTTGCTGCGGAAGAAAATCTTCTTGTCCCGGACGACTGAATGGGACTTTTTTCGAGCCCTGAATGTATCATGTCAAATTTAGTAAAACTGCAAACTTTGATGAAGATTTGTCGTAAGCTAACAGATACGAAGCCTGCAACTTAGTGGATTTTTACAAGGAAATGTATGGTGTGACGCCATACATTTTATTGTAAAAACTAGCCTGTTAATGAGCCATTTTCCATTAGTTTGCCACAAATCCTTATGATGCAAATGTATTTTGCAGTTTTACTAAGTTTGTCATGAAAAATAAATCACTTTGGTGGTGGTTTTTTGAATACATGAAAAAGACAAAAATCACAAATTGGCATGACATTTGCGAAGCGGTTTATTTAGGTGTTTTTAGTGGAGTCATTATTTCCTCCCTGTAGTAGACTCCCCTAAAAATGCCTGGATGTGAGGCTCATCACCAATGTGTTTGATAACGAACCTTTGGTGACTAGAAGTCAGGAAACTCCTCTTGACAGCTGTCTTGTTGGTCAGTGTGTGAATCATGGCCCAAAGAATAGCCAATAAAGTTTTCAGAGCTAGTTTGCAGCAGGTAACCAAGTAGGCAGGGATTTTTTCTCCAGCAGCCGGCTACTTTTGACAACCCTGATGAAAGTATCCTGCTTGTATGTAGAGAGAAAGAGCCACTAGGGGCTAGTTGTTTATTAACTGTGAGAGGGGGCCGGCCATTTTGAGAAAGCTTAGAAGATTTTTAAACTAGCCTGTATCAGTCATTCAGATAATGGAGTGTGTGATGTGAAGTTTTCAAACCGACCCTCTCCCCCCCCCCCCCCCCCCCATTTCCTTTTCTTTCTTTTTTTTTTTTTTAAATAAAAAAAATCAAACATTTTTATATTTTTTATCCCTTCTATTATATGAGCACCACCCCAATCCTGTGATATACATAATAATAATATTATAACTGTACAATAGGGACCACAGGGGTGTGTGTTTTTTGTAGTGGGGGGGGGGGGGGGGTATTTTGTAAAATTTATATAAATTTTTTCATTCCCCTTTTTTATTATTTACATAATTGGGGGTGTTGTTTGAATTTTTTAAACCCCCCCCCCCCCCCCCCCCCCCCCCCATTCATTCTCTGCTAGTTTTTTTTTCTTTTTTAAAAAAAGGCTCCCTATAAATTTTACATAATTATTACCCCTGCATGAACATGGCCCCCAACCGATTGCTGTGCAAAATATGAATATTGTAGCTGCAAATCATGACGAAGGTCGCCACATACTTTATTGACAGTAAGTCACGTTTAAAAGATTGGTGTAGACTATTTACAGCTGTTACATTGCATTTACAATTCATGTTTGTTACTGCTTTGTGCTACATGCGTGAAGTGCATTAAAATGATCCACAGGCAATGTTTCTTTATCTGAAAATGACGCCCCCAAAACGAATCAAGATTTTGAAAATGACCCTCTAGCAAAATGGCTGCCCCCTCCCGCCTCAAAGGTAAAAAACGACCAGTCTCCTATAAAAAATGTTACTGGCAATGCGTTGATTAAAGAGAGTGGAATTGTTATGAGAAAAATTTGTTACCGTTTATGGGAAATTTATCCCCCTGTGTTTTTCAATAAATAAGAGAGTTGAAAATAAAAATTATGATGGTGACTGTTAAATTGAATATGAGTATTTTTGCCCGTGTGTGTGATTCATTCAGCAAAAAACAGGAAGTTGCGTTTCAGATGATCTGGAACGTAACGGATGGGTTTACCCTATCACCTTGTGTGCCCGTGGTTTTGTCAGCGGATAAAAACGGGGAACCTGAAATATGAACACCCCTAAAATACTATTGATTTTCACCGTAGGGGTCATTCTCTAATAATTTCTTATTATAGAAATATAGTCCGGGACATTTGAAATCCTTCAGTCTTAAATACAGGCTTAATTCAATAACATTTTATTGTCCCACTTTGACGTATGAACCGAAAATAGACGTGGTCACGTGTGTATACAAAAAGGAACTGCTTTATTAAATTATCGCCGACTTGACAATTGTTGTTGATTGTAGCGATAGAGTGTAAAAGGTGCTTGAAACGGTAAAGTAAGATGTCGATTCCTTGTAATGTGTGCTTTTTAGAAACTAGCGAAAACAGTATTCGTACATGGTGTTGTGCTGGAGTGATATGTACCGCGTGTTTGGAAGCACACGTTCAATCGAAAATTGAAGATGCTATCGTAAAGATCTTGTGTCCGCTTGGAAACTGTGACACTGTTATGAGTGACGAAGAGGTACAACAACTTGTGTCCGACCGACTGTTCGAGAGATACCAACAATTTAAGGTGGATATCGAACAGAATCCTTTGATCAAAACTTGCCCAGGGTGTTCGCGAATTCATCATCACCCGGAGCAATCAGATTCAACTACGGCGGACAAGGAAAAAGATGGTTCTAGGCCGGATAATTTGAAGGTTACTTGCGTGAAATGCCAGTTGGTTTGGTGTTTCGCCTGTCAAGCACCGTGGCATTACGGCTTAACCTGCAAAGACTTCTGTAAAGGAGATAAATCATTGAAGATTTGGGCCAAAAACCGCGGGCAACCCGCTCGCAATGCCTGTCGCTGTCCTAAGTGTCGTGTTTTTATTCAAAAATCCAGCGGATGTGACCACATGTCTTGCACCAGGTGCGATTTTTAAAATTCTTTGTTTATGCATTACGAAGACGTATACTGTATCTTTCCATAAGAAGCAATGTAGATCATTTCTCGCTTCTGTCACTATTTCTTGGCGCGCGTTTTCCTTGAAAGTCTTTCGCACACGCCATTAACGACACCATTAATATTTGCGGAAACCGGGAAGAAAGGATCGGATTACAAAAAAATTATACAAAAAAATTATAATATTCAAACGTAGAAAAATATTGGTTAAATTTTGGATGAAGTCGCATTGATTAATGCGTTTCGCTTGCTATAAGCCACCTGTAGTATAAAAGTAAAAGTAAAATATATATATTGGTAATTTTGATTAATATTTTATAGCTAAGAATAATCAACCTGTGTTATCCCCTATCATGATAATATCTATGACATATCAATGCCAGGTATTTCGTTACCATAGAACATTTTGAAAACTTCTCAGCAACATAAAACAGTGAATTTTGGCCAAGAACATGGAGAAATGGGTTGGAATAATGAGGGACAGCTAAACAAGTTTGTTTTCGTTTTTCTTTCTTTTCTTCTCTTCTTTTTTTGATTGACTGATTGACTGACTGCTAGGTAGAGGTGTCTAGATATATTTGGATAAACCGCGGCAGCTGTCTGGTGTCCAATATAACTTTTCCAAAAAAATAATGTCATTAATAAATTAAAAGAATATATTAAAATAACAGAAAGGATCAGACACTTGCTATTAATTTTATTTCTTCCCTCTCAAAAAATTGCAGTCAAACCCCATTAAATACGGACACTGGGGGTAGGGGGGGAGGGGGCATAGAAAGTGTCCATACTAATGGGGTGTCAGTTTTAGGCAGGTTGAAGTCGCAGTCTCCCTATACCTAAAAATGTTTGTTGTTTCCTTTTTTTTAAATTTATCATGAGAAGGATTTTTTTCTTAGTCGCAAGTAAAGTGAACTTTATTTTCCTTTTTGTATTAAGTGGGTGTCTATAAAGCAGGATGCGACTGTAATTAAAATTTAAATATCATTTATTGATAAATATTTTAAAACCTAGATAAGTATTTGTCAATCTTGGAAATTAGGTTTCGTAGTAGAAAGTAGAAGTTAGAAATATCATTAATTATTTGATAAATATTTTATAGCCAAGAATAATCAACCTCTGCTATTCCTTATAACATCGTAATGACATATCAATACCATATGTTTCGGCACCATAGCAGTTTTTGAAAAAATTTCAGCATCACAAAAAGTGAATTTTGTCCAATAGTGTAAGAAAATGGGTTGGAAAACAAGGCACTGGAAATTGTTTTTTCTTTTTTTGTGACTGACTGGCTGATGACAGAAACAAGAAAATAAAAACTAAGCAACAGATTTTATAATAAGGCAAAACAAAAACTCTGAATGTGCAGCAGACTTTTTGACAGACTTCTTTGTTGTCATCGCATGACTAACGTTGTCCAACTTGATTGGAATGGGAATGTGATTGTCACTTTTATTTTTAAGATCCATTAATTTTCATCAATAACAATTTTCGCGACTTCGTCAGAAAAGCCCATAAAGTCTCAGTGTTTTCTCTTTGTTTGAATTATAATGAATGTGAAAAGCCATGTTCAATGAATTGCTGTTTTTACAGGTGTCACACAGAATTCTGCTATAGATGTGGTAGCAAGTATCATCATGTCAAATTCCTGGGAAACCACTACGATCGCTTCAGCATTTTGGGCTGCAAATACAACTTTAAACCTGACAAACCAGTTCAACGTATTGCAGTGCGTGGTGCCCTTTTTAGTGGACAGGTGATACTTGTCCCTGTTGTAGCTGGTTTGGTGTTCAGCGCTGGGTGTGTCATAGTGGGAGCAGGAGTTGTTGCAGCTCCATTTTATGGATCCTATGTTTTAATAAAGAGACAGAAAGCTAGGAGCAAACAAGCATATCAAACAAGAAATAAGTAGATTTCTAGCTTACTTTATCAATAAATGTTGTTACTAAATACAAATTTAATAAGATTTACACAGTGTATATATGTGACAATTGACAAAAAATCATTTAACAGCAATAATAATATTTTATTAAGTACTGACTTCTAATTCATGGTCATGTTAGTTGTTATACTTGTATTAAAATTGATAGCATAGCCAATTTAACTTTTTTCTCCTAAGTTGTTCAAATTATCATTATTTGTTACTTATACATTTGATACATTTGAATATAATAATTAGAGCTGCAAAAAACTTTTTTATGTACTTCTCATCAATTACAAGGCTTCACAAGTGTCAATGATTTTCCCTTTGTCTTTATTTAATATTTTAATCTGAAAATTACTTTTAATTCTTGCTTTTTGCTATGTGTACAATTAAATGAGAAGTTCAAGGGGACACAATTAAAAGACAAAACAAAAAGAACTGTAAACTATTGGTTCAGATGTTGAGATAAAGAAAAAAATTATCCTTGTTTTAGTTGTTCATGGACAAATTTGCACACATCAGCAAATTAAACTATTTCCATTTTTTATTTCAGTATGCCAGTGATCAGTTTTCAAAAACTAGAAATAATAGTCAGTACAGGTACCCCAAGTTCAGAGAGAGTGTATAAAATTTTACAGCACTGATGTTGTACGTATTTGTAATTTAAGCAACACCAAAGAGTTTTGTGCAATGTAATCATGAGATTAATGTATAGAATTTATTTCAAGAGCGTATTCCAAGCTTGGGGTACCTTTCAAAAAAGTACAATTGTACAATAAAGAAGCAAAGAAAGTAAGGGAGATAACAGAACATTTATTTGTAAATTTATTACTTAATGCTTCCTGTTACTTTTACACAAGTAAAGGTACTTGTTAAGAACAGTTTACAACCTCTAAATGTGCACTGAGAAAGTTTCTATTTAAAAGTGATCATTTGCTGAATAGAGCAGTTGACTATACATGTATAAGGAAGGACAAAAAAAACTAAGGGCACTTTCTATTTGTCAGAACTTCGACTGGCCAGACCATTCTCATCATAATGAAAATTTCACTTTTTATCACAACTATCCAGCCAGATCAGTCAAATCCTTAATAGTATGCACGAAGGAGATGATTTCTCAGCAAAAACCCTTTGGAAAAAGCCAATTTCATTTGCTAACTGACTGATCCGCCAATGGTCAGGCCAGCAAGTTCTGACAAATGGAAAGCGCCCTAAGGTAGCCATTGGGTTAAATAAAAGTATACTGTAAAATGCCATTTATAAGTACCCCACTTATAACTCTAAGGGCAGCAGCTAGATCCCAGGCAAAAATAAATTAGAGAAGTTTGACTGAAATAAACTCCCTCTATTACAGACTCTTGCCAATGCATGAGGACACTAACGTGAGGTCCCTATGGTGTCCGCTATTACATGTAAGGGAGTTGACTCTAGTCACAAAAGCATACAGCTGTAACCACTTGACTCGTCACAAACACTTTCAAGGATTTGAGATCAAAATTTTCCCTGCTTGCAATCACAATCTAGGCATTCAAGGATACCAACTTTTTGAAAAATGCTAATTTCAATGTACAGTACATCCTAAAACAAGCAGCCAAATTACTACCCTACTGTCTCCGATTCAACTGGTTACCCTGTTGTCTCGGTGGAGCAGCACTAGTAACTACCACTGTTGAGTTTGCAATGACATCATAGGCTGTACGACTATGCTCAAAAAACAGGACTGTGAAAAACACAGGAAACAGGAACGTCATGGAGAAGTTTTTAAGCAGGGCCCTCAAAAATGATCTGTTGATAAAGTCAGAAAAAAAAACACTCTTTTTACAGAGAGATGACGACCTTCAATATTATTCTGGGCAAATTTCCCAGCCATTCTAAAACATCCACTTTTGTATCCAACAAAATAATAACATTATATCACTTTTTTCAAACTGCTTTTTCTGAGCGAGGTTTTTCAATTCACCAATCACAAGCAAACACAAAAAATGTTACGAATAATCCCTAAGTGAAGGTACATGTAACTTGTCCAAGTCTGGTCATCTAATATTGAAGTCCATCTACCAGAAGTCAGGTCATGCTATGTTAAACAGATGTGAACTCAGTTACCAGAAATCATGATTAATACTTCCTATGTGTGCCTGTTATCTGGGTATCACAGGACAGTGGCGGCTATAGGTTGACCACCCAACTCTTTGATAGTTGGGTCATGAGAGAGTTCAAATTATCACTGTATGTATGTTGTGTGAGGGGGGTCACCAGACAGTAATGGATCATGACGATCCGTTCTGGTGGTGACACAACCAGACTTCCGGTAATTGAGTTCAGATCCATTTAACAATAATTATCATGATCACACTTCCGGTAATCAAGTTCACATCACGACCAGACTAATCTGTTAGTAAGAAGGGTCAACTTCTATTTTTTGGGGTGTAATGGACATGAAAGAAAAGCACTTTTGGGACTAGAGGTATATGTTATGCAATTGCATTTTATAGCTAGCCTACCTCCAGAATCCAAGGTTTCCTCCAGGGATGATTCTCACTCGGTCACCTGCTGGGTCGGTTGCCACTGTAGAAATGCTATCAGTTGCAATGACCGACAATCCCATGAGATATTTCCCAGGTGTGGCTCCTCCTAAACTCCCATGTAGTCCACCCATTAGGAAAAACACCTGCAAAGGATCATGAGAAAAATATTTCAAATTGTACAGTCACAGGGCCAAAGATTGGAACATTCCTAGTCAGAATAGTCACGAGTCTTGGAAAAATTTTCACCTCGTCCAAACCTCATCTTATTTAAGAACCCCTACGCCTCCACTGAATGTAACTATTCTTTTCTTACCCACATAAAATGCCAATAGAGGTAACATAACTAAAATCTTGATAATAATGGACATCAAAGATACAGAGCCAATTGTCTGCCTGTTTAATAGAGTTAGAAAATGTATGGAGCTTTCTTGTTCTTTATCTTTGAGATCAAGAGAACAATCGATAAAAGAGAGATGCCAGTATTACAGACGTGTCCCTAAAGAGGGGTTTGATTATTAGGAGAGCTGCTGTCAGATTTTAATGCTGGAAATTTCGAAAACAAATGGCCTTCAAAACCTAAAGTGTGGACCTGACACTATGATCATTACACTTATAAAGATTATTTTCTGTGTCAACAAATCAAAAATCCCCGGCCCCATTTCATTTTTTAACATTTTTTTCTTTTCCTTGTATTAATTTCTTAGTTATCTTTAAAAAATTCTACTGAATCTGTACCTCATATGCAAACACCAGCAGTCTGTAAACCAAAGCTTGGACAAGAAGCACCTGGATATCTTGAATGTTAAGATTCAGATCTTCATCATCACTGAGAAGTGAATACTGTAACTGATTATATTTCTCCAGGTCGTCACTGAAAAAGTAAACTTCTTGTATTGACAACCATTCACAATGAAAAAGGTCAGAGATTGAAAGTAGAAATGTATATTTATCATCACTCAAGAATGCCTGAATCGGAAGCAAATTCTTTACGAGAAAGAAGTCAATATGCTTAATTTTCAAAGTAGAAAAATAAGAAAAAAAGGTAACCTTGAGTACCCAGCAAAATTTAAACCTTTGACCTCCCAAACAATGGTGCTCTATCTACTGATTGAGCTACAGAGAATCATAGGGAGCTAGAATATTCACTTAATCAAAAGAGACATTTATCCTGCATACTGCTAGGATCATCAATACTGAGGCTGTACTGTATAGTGTTAAAAATATGATTGATTATAGCAAATGTAACTTCAGTAAGTAAATGAGATGTAAAAGACGATGTACTAGTTGATTGAGTGGGGGGAATGGAAGGGAAAATTTTCTACTTGACCATCCTGACAGAGAACCAAATATTGACCTGACCCAACTCAGTCAAGAAGCATTTTTTCAATGACCGCTGTGTATTTGAATTTTCTGACAGAGTGTAGCCGTATTGATCACTGCCCTTTTCTAGTAGGGCCCTACAGGTTTTTCCAGCCCTATCACTTGACCTGTATGGCCATAATTTTATAAGGGACTTTGTTTTATACGGCTTTTCAACGAAATTGCACGGGGGACCATACAGGTCATAATTATGATAATATGTGATAATCATCCTGTTGAGCATTTCTATCAGTGTGGGACTACCATGTATAATTAATACATCAATCACTTCTACTCATGGAGTGGAGTATAAAGGGAGTGCAGTTGAACAAAGTAAACATAATTCTTTGAAACTGTACTAAGACAGTGTCATTAGTAATATCATTAAAATAATAGTTTTCATCAAATGTCAAGTTATGGTATACTTGTCTAAACTTAAAGCACTTTTTTAAAGAGATATGTGCACTGCTTTACATTTGATTGACATTTTCTCTGACAGGACTGTAAGTCAGAGAAAATGTGTAAAAGAGAATAGTCACAAAAAATCACCCCATGACACCACAGAAAGTGTGGCTACAAAAAGGCCAACATTACACTACTAACACCAAAGAAAACAGAAGCAACCACTTACTAAATTGAAAACACAAGAATCTTTGTAAGGTACAGGAAGATAAAATCAAGTATTTCAGCATATATCCTTCTTGAGACAGGTGCAATCTGTACCTCAGAAACTACAGGTATAGAGGATAAAAAAACAAGGACAGATAAGAAATTCATAAACAAAGTTTAGCAATTAACTACAACTTGAACCTGCTAGTGGTTATGCTGAAGGTGAAATCATTCTCAAGTTAACGCAGAATTTCTTTTGTCTCCTATGAATCAGTTGCAAAACGAGTTGTACATTTTTAGTGAAATCTGCAATGGAACACACAGAAGAGCCGTCAGGCAGTGAGGCTGAATATGCAAAAACAATTGCACAGGAATAAAAGAACGAAAATTATACGAGCTCTGGATGAAAAAAGTACTCGTGACTGTGTATGAGATCAGAAAGATGGAATTTCATGTATTCCTAAGTAGGTTTGCTCCGGGAAAAAAAGACAAATCTCCAAACTGTCTCTATGTTATTTTAATATGATGCACGAGTGTACAAGACTCTTATTCACTTTCTGGGACTCATAATAGGCTTGGGTCATAGACTCAGTGTTTGAAAGCTGTGCAAGCGCCAGGACTAACTGCAGCTGATGTGTTCCAGATGGATCACTGTTCAAATTATAATTTCAATATACAGCGTAAAGTAGCTTTTTACACTTAACTCTTCTGGTATGCTCAAGTCCACAAAAATTAAATTAGGCTAACACGAACATTACCTGTTGTAACAGCTTGTTGTCCTGGATAAGTCCAAGGTACTGCTGTACCTTGCAAGAAAACGCCACCGTTCATCGGAGGTCTTGGTACATGTCGATTTTCAACGTTTGCTGTGTTTTGCCGGGCTTGTCCAGCGTATAAACCGGGTTGAGATCCTTGATTTTGCAAAGTCGACTGAGAATAACTGCTTTGGCTTTGAAAAGTTTCTTGATACATTGATTGCGATGCAACAGTTTGCCAGTAATACATGTACGAACAAAGCTGATAATAATATTGTTGGTAATAATGAACGGACATCCAGTACCAAAGAACATTCCATGGCTCTTGTGAACGACTATACGATGTACTTTGCTGATTTAAAGAGGCACCAGTAGATGAATTTCCGTGTGAGCCTGTTTCAGGCGAGTTTCTATGTGGTTCTTCCTCGCTAGAAGACTGTCTTTTCGTTGTCACTCCGTCGCCTTGACCGTCCGCCATATTTTGATTCTAGAGTGAAGATTGGGTACGACCTTGGGGCTAGTACGTCATGTAAATAAAGATAATTTATACCACCCATCTCTCGGCTACAGATTTTGTCGTTTTCTCCAGTTTTCTCCAGTTTCTCCTTATTTTGCAGAACAGGCGTTGTTGTTGTTGTTGTTGTTTTTTGGCGTTTTTCATGGTGAGCGAAGGCAGGCGCGGGTCAGGCGTGGAGCGCGAGACGCGCGCAACTCGCCCTCCACCCCCGCTTCGCGCTTTCCTCGGCTGAAAAACACGAAAAAGAAGCGCCTGTTCCAAAGGCTACAATCTTGGACAGAATACAATGGAACAGTAAACCCCCAGTTTTCCTCCCTCGGTGTAGAGAAAAGAATCTGCAGGACTGATGAAGCAAAATCCACCAGATCATAAGGTTCAAGTAGCCGAGTTCACTAAGCCAATACTCTGTGTTCATCCCTTCCACGGCCTTTTTTTAATTTAACCTGATAATAACGAAGTTCCTGATAGGTTTTTGGGGGAGATTCGGAATTCAGCTTATTTCATGTCTGGCATTTTGAATTTGCGGAGAGAAAAGGGGGTAGAGCTCTCAACGGAACACGGGATTCGGTGGCTTTATGATACGGGGGATTTCAATTTTTAGAAAAGTTGCCAAATAACCATGACCCGCTTGGAACAAAGGTGCATTTTCAGAAAGATTAACTAATACATATCATTTGATTTGGGATGAGTTATCCACATTTTCTGCGAGGGCTATCAGCTAAGGCAATGATTTTGAGCCCTCCTTTTTTATTCGATCCGACTCGTGATCTGCCACTTAGTCTTTAAACATGAGGATATCTGGACTCTTCCAACGTCAAGTCTCTGGCACTTACAATTATCGGATCCGATGGAAACCATCGAGATGAAGGGAACGACTGAAGATTGAGCGAAAACAATCAGCGAACATTTTGACAGGAGGACAGAATTAAAGACCGCCGACCGCTATTCATTGTATAGTTAACTTTAGTGGCCATCTGGTTCATCAAATTTAAAAAAGGAGGATCACCCCCCGTGGAAAGAATAAGTTTTCATTGCTAAAATGAAATACTAAAATTCTATTGGATAAGCCATCACGGGGCGAAAAACCTCTTGCATCCTCCAGTTTAAGTAGGTGACGTTCTGCTGCCGGAGCTGCGTAAGGGAAAGTCAGCCAAGAAGGTTTGTAGCAGTGCCGAAATTTCCCGCTCCCTTTTTTTCCTTAGTAAAATCACATCTAACAGTGTAAAATTACATAACAATATATCTCAAAGCAAACTAGTTTTAAAAGCAAATCTGCGATCAATACTGTCTACACCTGTGTCATGCAAAGGTCATAAGCTTCAGAAAACCAGCTCACAGATTTGAAAAGGTTTCATTGCTGAGATAGTGAGATAACTAAAATATTTTTTGTCGAGTGATGGTCGTTATAAAATATTAACCTGTTCGAGAGTGCACTGAAGACAGTTTTCAAAGTTTAAAGAGAAATGAACATCTGCACGGCTTATACTGAGTCGGGTTCCGCTTTATTTCTTTAAAGTTCTTTAAACACTTTATAGAAGACGATAAAATCCACACACACATCTAAAATAACCTACAGGCAATGTAGCCAACAATTCTAACAGCAGTTTTTGCGTGCTTTCATATCCTCGAACTTTTCCTTGCCTTTGTAAGATATTTTGCCAAATGTCCCATACAAAAGGAAGATAATTAGAAAAAGGAGATAGGTAATTTGAAACGAAGGTAAAATTGAGGTGGACCACCGAAGAAGCAAATTAACTTTTTTCATATTATTGAGGTTTTGTGACTTTGTTTTTGTCTTAATCTTCTTTGAACCGATTGGAACAAATTTAAAAGACTGATAAACTTAACAAGAATGGATTTCAAGAGTCATATAAAGTCAAAATGTATAAATCACTCCTCTTAATTAGTTTTCTGAAATGATAAAGTTTGATTTACATTTATCTAAACAGAAGACTGAAGGAAATTTTTATCGTCTCAGTGGGGCAACTTAAGAGAACAAAGTTCACTCGGGAATTTTGTTTCAACTGTGAACTAAACAAGTCACTGTTTTTGCTTTCTGGACAAAAAAAAAACGTTATTCCTCTTTGGAAAAAAAATTTATTCTTATCATTTTCTAGTTAATTTAACTGAGAAAAACTGTTTTTGTCAGTTTTTTTTTTGTAAAAAAGCATTTTAAAAGAAGTATCTGTCGTTGATGATATTTAAATTGCATTCAAGTCTCAACAGGACTTTTAAATACTCACCTTGCTTCAGGTATCGCTATGGGATGTGGCCAGTGCTGATCGATGTTGTGGTGGGATGTTGATGAAGAAATTTAATTAATAGGGGCCTCAACTAATACCATCATTACTCTACGACTCCTACGTCGGTAAAATGTTAATGATAAAGCATTGCATCGTTTTGACAACATTCGTGCACCTGCTCTGTATAGAGCTAGAATGACATATTTTGAAATTACAAAGTGTCCGTGGGATTTCGATTCGAAATTATCGGTATAAACGGTCTCTGATTGGTCTGCCATGTATATGTCCAACCCGCGGTAAGATATATAACAGTGTTTTAATTCATAAGCACCAAAGGGGAGATATATGGATGGAAAAGCTGGGGAATGGCTTAATACCACCTCGATCACTTGCCACATAATTAGCATGAGGCGAATCACCTGCGCTCGTAGAGTCAGTTGTCAAGAAAGTGGGTCTAGATAACTTGTAAGTCTGTAAATGAAAATTAATACTATGATGTCATTCATACGAAACCATTTCAGCAGTTTTTAACATTTCGCTATTTGTTTTCAGTATTTGCTCTTCATTTTTAGGATAAACGTTGTAATGAAATTGGAGGCTTTAGAAAGTACTCGTGTTTAGCCATTTTCTCATCACTTTGTAAACATAGCGGACCAATAGTGATAAAGCCAGCGTTCGTCGTTATTAAGCACAAAATTCTTTTAGAGTAGTTGAAACAAAGTTGAGTTGGGTATTTTCTTTTTAAATGCAAAATAAAAATAATCATCACTGCATTTTTTCTTTCCACAGAAAAGATTATTCATTTTAGTCTGACGACACCATGAAGAAAATACACTTAAACACTGTCAAGATATTTTTAGCTCTCTTCACTGCCATCTTAAATGAAGGATTATCTTCAAGCGGTGAGATAACAGTAAACGTTTTGGTGATTATTAAAAGGGGGAAAGGTGGTCGGCAGATAATAAGCGCATCTCGTTTCTAGCCAGTCAGAATCTAGGGCTTTCTAGTTGATATCGTTCCTTACTGTTCGCCACTTTTGATTGCACACCATGCCAATATCTCTCACTGTATTTTCACAGCTGTCTCTATCACCTCCCCTGCCGCCAGCCTGTAAATTAGTCTCTAGTTGTGGACCTATATCGTCCTATTAGGCGGTGCTTTTTCCCCGACCTTTTTGCTAAACATGGTATACCAATTTGTTTGCACTATTCTCGAAGATCTTAATAAAATTCGCCCTTTGGAGGCAAAATTTACTCCAGTCAATTGCTAGTCAGTCTTTGATTACTTCAGCAAGAGAGTTCGCCCCTGAGGCGGTGTTGTCGATGAAGCTGATAACGTATTTCATCGCTCACAGTGCCTCACTACAAATGCCTGTATATGAAAGGTATATAATGACTTGTTATTTCAACAGCTTCACCAAAAGCTGTTTATATCATGAAAGATACTATGTGTTTTTTCAACAGCTTTTCCAAAAGTAGAGTTACCAGCTTCTGAAGTGGTAGCATTACCCGGCTACAGATTGTGGTGTAAAGCAACAGGGACCCCTCCCATACACACCTCCCTAATGTGGGGTAGTCAGGTGCTGGATAATTCAACTGGTGTCCCTCGTGCTGAGCTGAATATGGAGGGGAAATACACTTGTAAGGCTACAAGCCAGGCAGGAACCGACAGCAAAGAAGTACGAGTGAGTTTTACGAGTAAGTATTGGATTGAGTATAATATGATGAACACAGTGAGGTAGTATAGGGCATAATTTATTGAACTGGCCAATTATTAAAGGGGGACTTGATTCTAAAATTTCTTTGCGAACCATAAGTTTAAGAGAGCCTGGAAGGCACCTCGTAACTACTCTAAATCCTATAACTTTGCTTACTAAATTCTATTGCCATTGCAATTCGCTCGTTTGTTTTCCCCCTTGCATGATTCTGTTTATTAATAGTCAATGTGGGGCAAATGTTAGGCCAACACAGAGCCAATAGACCGGTGTTGGGCTTATGGGGGTACCATGTCAGGCAATATAGAGTTAACTGAAGTAAGGCCAATGACTGGTTGTATTTTTATTGCAGCTTGCCCTTTTTGCTCTCAGGCAGAAGGGCAGTGGTATTCTCACTGGGGAAACACTCTTTCCTGTTCAAATGTTCGCTCACCAGCAGACATCAACTGCGCTTCTACTCTTGCGGAAGTTCTGTGAGTCTACAAATTTGAACAAAAATGGAGAGGGAGGATATGGGGATACCGTACAACCAACAAATTTGGTGACCTACCCCTCCCCATAGCCAACATTTTACCTTAAGTGAAAAGTAAGTGTTAACTTTTCCTTAGGGGAGGGGTAGGTGGACAGTTTTCCTAAATTTGTCCACACTTTGTCTCAATCTTTGGTGGCTGTTTGCTTATCATTCAAAAACATTTTAACAAGGTGTGATTACAACGGTTGTTATGGTAACCAGCTATAATAGGATAGATAAGGTCAGGACATTTTAATTTCTGAAAACTATTCAACCTCCTGCAAAGTTTCACGACTCTGGCCAGTGCTTTATGCCAAGATATTTTTTATAGTGTGTTTTAATTTCAACCATACCCGTTCTATTTCAGGTACCTGTATGCAAGCTACTTAAAAAATCTGCCAGCTGACATGTTTGCAAGTCTTTCCAACGTGCGTTACCTGTGAGTATTATATTTACCCTGCACTTACATGCATTGGCACTGTCCTCATGCTCCTGGTATAAGCTAGGTTAAGCAACAACGACGACGACAGTAGTGAAAAAGTCGTTAACAAAATGAATTTGCGCCTTTCAAACTTTATGGCGTCTTACGTGGACTAGTCTGCATGTGTCGGCAAAAATCACAGCAGTGCGTTGCGAGGAGGGGTGTATCAGACGATGTGTCGGCAAAAATCACAGCAGTGCGTTGCGAGGAGGGGTGTATCAGACGATGTGTCGGCAAAAATCACTCGTCACGTAACGCTCCTCCCCTCCCCGTTTGTGGGGAGGAGCGTTGTGTGACGACACTAAAAACGGATGTGTAGCAGACTATACGTGGACCCACTCAATTTGATTTAATTTAATTTATAAAACCAATTGTTTTTTAACGTTGTTGTTGTCGTCGGCGCCGTCCCTAACCGTATTGTGTCTCCTCCTCGATTAAAATGCCAATATATAGAAATGGGAATACCACTTGAATACAGTTGATTTGAGAATCTCTTTTCTGACTGCATGACTGATCATCTATTTCTAAAAGGATCCGCTGACTACTGTCTCTAGATAATGGTATTCCCGATACCTGCCATCTTTGCAAGCGCTTTAGGATTGATGGGATAAAAGAAATGTCACGTGGTATTTCAGGGGGCAAACAAGTGACAAAATTTGTCAACACGAGTAGTTAAATCGCGGTCGCCGGAGTTTGATTATTTTTTCAAAAGTCAAGGACGATTTAATAGTCATGCAAAATCTACGGTTCTAGTTTCGACAAGTTTACGTCATTATGACTTGCTGTTAGGACATCTACGGTCGCTACTGCAACTAGAAAAGTAACAATGATCACTTTCAGCCCTAATTTTCCCTTATCGCCTTTAAGATAAAAAGCTCTTTATTTTCTGTTGTTTAGAATATACAAACTCGACCGCGATTTCTTGCATTGGCAAATTTAATCACTTGTTTGCCCCCTGAGAATTAAAGCACGTGACATCGCTTTTATCTTATCAGTCCTTAAGCGCGTGCAAAGATGGCGGGTATCGTGAATAAGGTCTACTGAATTGCCTGTATTTTGTTGCCCCAAGCCTCTGTTTCAAAGCGAGGCTAAATGCGAAGCCATTGATATGAAAACGAGTTTTATTCTCATGAAAATGAAACTCATTTTCATGTGAACGGTTTTGCACTTTGTCCACTTATTTTTCACTGGTTGTACATGGGGCATGTTAAATTTGGCACAAGCAAAATGGATTTGTTTATTTTAATTTTATTTGTTTTATAACTAATATCAATAATTTAATTTTGGACAAGGCTTTAGGCTCAGTAAATTTCCAAACTGAAACAACCCTCCAGCTTATTTAATCAACTCTGTCTCCAGTTGAAAGTTACCATATCATTTTTCCGCAGTTTTTTAGCATCAAACAACATCCAAACGCTATCTGCCCAATTATTCTCCAACTTGAGAGATTTAGTACAACTGTAAGTTACTATGCTTTAAGTTAGCTCTTTATAAAAACTAGGGAGAAACAGTGACATGCACCCCAACTGGTTTCTCCGCGACAGACGTCTGAGAAACGACTGTAGCCGAATTCCGCAATTATGACAGGTCACTAACCAGATCTAGGTCGTTTGTCTGACTGCTGTCAGAAGTACGCGTCATCAGTTTGGAATTTCTGCAGTCGTTCCTCAAACGTCACTGGTTTCGTGCAGGGAGACCAGAAATGGCGTCGCGAAATTAAATGTCTTCTGTTTCCTCAGACTAGTTAATTTCTGAAAAATGTACTCTAACCGAAACGCTTACACTCGATATGCGGTGAAATATAAGTTCAAAAAATGCTTTCATTTGATACGTCCTGCATTTGACTGAATATGCCTTTTTTTGTCCACGCAGAGACTTATCTTCAAACGCCATCTCAGTTTTACCACCAGGGCTGCTTTCGAACTTGACACAATTGTCTAGCCTGTAAGTTCAACAAATTAATAAATAAAAAGAAGAAAGGTGTAAAAAAAAACGTCACAAAAAGGTTTTTTCACCTGATCTGGCAGAGAAATTTAGTACGAAAATTTTTGGCATAGCTTTTTGGTGAGTATTTCTCAATATAGTATATAATGAAGAAAATTACAATGGCGAGACCGCCTGGTCCCATTAGCACCTGGATCAAAGAACACAAGTCCCGTGATACCTCTGCCGTTTTCGAGCATTGCCAAGCAACGGGTCACAACATCAAGCCACACAATGTAAGAGTACTATCTGACGAAAACAACACCATTAAGCGTAGAGTCAAGGAAGCCATTGCTATTAACAAAGGAAACTCTCCCTGAATAGCGGTGAGGGACTGGACTTACCAGCAATTTACAATCCTCTCTTGGGGGTTCGTAACGTTACTTTCTGTCACACAACGCTGATGAAGTCTGAGTGATTCGGACGAAATTTCGTTTTCTTAATTTTTGCTCTGAGTTTTGGAATTCTCTGTACTTAAGGTTTAAAATGGGACGCCGGTATGTCTTTCAAAAATCAAGAAGTCGTTTATTTCCAGGGTCGACTTTCTATCAGTCTCGTAATCTACGTCATTCCTCTATTCACGAACTCGTCAAAGGAGGTGGCTTCCTTACTCATTTATTTGATATTTATTTGATAAAAGTTAGGGTAGGAAAACTAATACTGTGGTGTTTTTCTTCTGCAGAAATTTGAGTTCAAATGACATTGCGACTCTTGATGCCGACATCTTTTCCAGTCTTGGGCATTTAGACTACCTGTAAGTTTGAATAGAAAAAGAGATTCAAAGAGATTTTTGTAAGGAAGGCATGACAAAAAGAGCGGATGGTCTTCTCTTGATGACAAGCATTACAACGATGGGGTACCGAACGAGTTTGAGAATGCCGGTCAAGGTGGTGGAAATGAATCTTTAGACAGTTAGTTTACAACTCAAATGGGAGTATTCCTGGAAAAAGAATATAATAATAACCAATGTTTAATACGCCGAATATTTTAGGCAGTAATCTGTTTAAAGTTAGCTGGTTAGCAAATTGTCAAAGAGTTCCTCTATCTGCCTTGAAATAGAAAGACTACTGAATTCACCATCTTCCTGGATTGTTTGATTTGAAGACAACAGATCTATGGGATTCTATTCAGAGAGTATTTCATTTACGGGGACATGAGTCCTTGATGATTCATATATCAGAATCTGCATTCGCGTTTCATTAATTAAGGGCTTTCGGGGAACAATTAACGTGAGCTATTACTTATTTCCAGGTCACTGTCTTTCAACAAGCTTGAACTTCTTCCCGACACCATATTCACGAACCTTACAGAGCTGCAATATCTGTAAGTTGAGTCAACACTGAATTTAATACAAGAGACAACACAACTAGTTCTCTCTGTACATTTTCTCCATATGAAATGCAGTAGGAAACCCGAATTCATGCTACTGAACAGGGTCCAAATGTCTCATGCTACGGATTTACCTTAAACGGGATTTTTTCCGGGACATACACTAACAAGGCAATGCCAAAAAGTGATCATGAGTGAGAGACGAGGAGGAAAGTATGAATTATCCCAAGGGATTGAATATAAGGCGTTTGTTTCTAAGGTTCTCAGGTGTATGTCTTCAGGGTAGGGTGAGCCAATCATGCAAGTGGTGGACCTTGAACTGAAGGGGCACACTCTCGTAAAGGGGAGGGGGGAGGGGGGAGACGCTCTCCAGTAGGTTTCTCGGCACCTCGGCTTCGGGGAGCTAATTTCTGGTCTTCAAACCCCCACCTGCCAGCCATTTTTTAATGTTATCTAGATCATCCCAAACCTCCCCAGATCTACTGTTGCGATGTTGGAGAATACCATCTTGGTTCGTTTCCCATAAGTAAATGATGAAGCGGTTAGTAAAAATGTATTGCTAGACAAGAAAAGAGAAAAAAACATATACTATGGATTTACATGTATAAATTCTTGCACCAATTAATCCACCGTGAATAACTGGCACAGAAATTAATTCCGATGCCTTTAGAAGCAGAAATAATGTTCGTGTTCACACAGGTTGCTAAGTTATTTCATGCATGTACTGTTGCCTGTACCGGACACGATCATTTACTTGTTCGGATAAACTTCACATCATACTTGCTGCATATTTACAGGGATTTGTCCAGCAACAGAATTCGAAACTTGACCAATGGATTATTTTGCTGCGTAAAAAAGTTGCAGTATTTGTAAGTACTGTCAAAAGTCTAATAAGTGTTACGACAATTAAATTCCTATCTTGTGGCCGTGCGTGTTTGATAAAAAGCTTTTAGCTATATTTAAAAATTTGTCTATTTATCTTGAAAAAAGGGCTGTTAACCATTGAAATCATAATCAAAAGATAAAATTTGATCCCGTGATTCAATAAAAGCCTTTTAACTGATCCGAGGATGAAAAAAATACATGTGTTCCAAACCATTTTTCATGTAATCATAAAAGCTTTTCGTGGGCAGAGCTCCCTTATTTTATAATTAGTTTAACTTTGCATTGATATTTTCTCAGTTAGAAATAGTTAATGGAGTGGTTTTCGTTTGAGTGTCGTAAAACCAAAACCAAAGTAATTACTCTGGCCAATCACATAGGACACAGACAATACATTGAACCAATCAAAACTCGAAGTAATTACATGTGGCTAACGCAAAGCGCGGGAAAATGCATGCGAGCGCGTCACAATTGGCTTTGGTTTTACTTCTGATTGGATGAAAAGGTGGCGCGAATCTTTTAAGCCAATCGCATCGTGTAGAAAGTGCAAAACCAATTACTTTTCGACACTCAAATGAAAACCGCTCTACAATTAACTTTACAAAGCCGGCCTTGTGTGTAGAACGCGTGCATTCCATATCCTGCTATATAAACTCGTTTCCATCACTATTAGGGGAGTAGACAAAAACTACTACTACTGATCATATGCGAGAAGCACAAGAGAAGTGCTTGTTAGTACTGATCGGACGAATTCATCGCAGACTCAAAAGTTAGAATCATCATGTTGTCAGCTTGATAAACAGCGATACAGCGAATTGTTAATCCTTTAATTCTAAATAGCCGCACTTATGTTTTCTTTAAACTGTAGATATTCTCTAAAGGATGTGGGGAAGACAAAACGAGAGTTACAGTTTCTGTATTTTAATTAAAATAACCGGGAAGCTTATTAAATCTTGACATCTTTGCTGTTATGAAATCTTAAAAACACGACTTTTACTCGTCACAGGTTTTTGCAGAACAATCAGATACCTGCCTTCAACAACGAAACATTTGGTCACGCGCTCAACTTAAAATACCTGTAAGTATTATTAATTTCATCTCAGAGAAAGGCCCAAATATTTTATTGATTCTTTAGCTCAGGTCTGATGATCTTAGAAAGGTATTTTTTTGTCTGTGACATTGAAATACAAAAAGGATTAACTATCACAAGAGTGATATAATTTCACGCAGTGTGATGTATTATGTCTTACACACTGACTAAAGAGCTAAAATGTATTTGTCTATCGATCTTTACGCTCAGGTTACTGAATAACAACAGTATAAATGTCATTCCTGAGCAAGCTTTCTTCTATCACAGGAAAATCGAGATACTGTGAGTAACAACGTATATACGGTGTGTTTTCACTTTTCGTTTGGTTATACCCGATATGTACTTGGAGATATCCTAATCATGGTAGTATATTTGTGATTATTAAGAAACTGTTTCCATTATGGAAGTTTTTATTTCACAACATACGAAAGTGTTTTAAAATAAAATGGAAGACATCATTTTTAACAACTGATAAAAAGCAGTCACTAGCAAAACAAAAATCCATGATCTTATATCACGACTGTTTTCCTTGGACAACCAATGATCGAGAGCAAGAAGAAGGCGTAGGGGGTAGTTGTGTTGCGTTTTTTTTTTTTCATAAATCGGAAAGTTTTACTCAATTCGTCATGTCAAAATTTACTGTCTGAGTGGGTGAGCAAATACCTTATATCAACTTTGAAATGTAAAATCCCGATCATTTTGCTATTAAAAAATAACTTGAGTGAGATTTTCCATGGACTTAAGTCTGCATATGGGAGACTCGTTCCTTACCCTCCGCCCCTCTGTATGCCTGATTTTCTTTGTTTCAAACTGTCAAAATTAACTGCGATTTGCATGGCTACCCATAGAAGTTGAGTCTTAGTTACTTAGTCCCTAGGCCTCATTATTTCGCGCGGCCAATTCGTTTCGGGTTACGTGGTCCGAGCGAAGAAGCGAGTGTTTCCCGCCCGTTCACCGCGGATACGTCACCGAAGTGAATTGACCGAGTAGACCTGGGAAAACGCCGTACAGTGACCAGGCAAGAGTCTTAGCACAAGTTGTAATAGTTCTTTGATTATCACCGATTTGCTAAAGATATTCTCTTGCCTTTTTCTTCTAAGAATGTTCACGGACAATATAATTGACAGAGTTGAGGAGAAGGCCTTTGGATTTGGCAACGTTAATGAAAGCCCTGAGGGTGGCATGAAAGTGTAAGTTAGATTCCCTTAACCTCGTCCCCAGGGTCTTCTCGTTTTCCAATATGCCGCTGCCATAGTAGTTAAAGATATGTCCCTGGGCACGAAGTCAAGATTTCCCGCCATTTTTGCGAACAGTATGGCACAAAAGCATGTCGTCAGTTCAATTGAAGGTGTATAAACTCAGTGTATAAACTCGACAAACTCAGTATAAGGTTGTACGAAAGGCTAAAACCTCAAAAAAATCCTTGACTCTTTTTTCGATTGTATGAAAGTTTCACCTAGATTAAAAAAAATCTTCAAATTATTGGGCTCTGTCAATGCGTTGGTTTCTGAAAAAAGCAACTTCAAATCTCGTCGATAGGGCCTTGCGCTTAGATCGGCAGGAGTTCTCTTACATAATGTTAAGTCTA